GACAGCTCGGACCTCAGGAAGTAGCCCAACACGCAAGGACAGACGGGGCCCACGCCTCCCAAGGATGGACCCCGACAGTGGCCCCCCCCCCACCTCAGAAGATGCACGCCAAGCCCGACTTGGCGTTAGCCACTGCAAAACCACCCACCAGGAGCACTGCACCAGGAGCAGGAGGGCTCGGTGAGGAGGTAGCGCCAACCAGCAGCCTCTCCGCCCCGTCCAGCTTGACTCACCGGCAGATCCAAGGAACAGAAGCACATCATGAGGCTGAGAAGGCGTTTGGGGTTGGGATCGCCACAGTGTGTGTGTGGGGGGGGTAGGGGGGGCAGCGGCGGGGAGGTGACAGAAGGGACCCGGGTGACAACAACAGCTGGGAATAACCATGCTGGACAAGAACTGCGTTTCGGGAGTAGGGAAGGGGACATACACGACAGCCTCATTTTGAACAAGGAGAGGGGTGGCAGTCGGACAGTCCCGCACACTCTGAGGACATCCGCGGGCACCGTTCTCCTCAGACACGGCCTGGGAGCACGGGAGCAGACAGAAGTGTCACGGGAGGCTGCATCAAGGGCCCCCGAATTGGAAGGGAAGGGGCCAAGGAACACACTGTCAACCTCGTCGGTGTGACTCCACGCTTGAAGACCAGAGGCGTGTTCCAAGAGTGATCTGAGGGGGCCGGAGTGATAGTCCAGCGGGGCGGGCGTTTGCCTTGCATGCAGCTGACCCCGGGTTCAATCCCCAGCATCCCATAGGGTCCCCCAAGCACCCCCAGGAGTAATTCCCAAGAGCAGAGCCAGGAGGAACCCGAGGATCGCCGGGTGGGACCCAAAAAAGCCACAAAAGAAGAAAAACAAAAGTGATCTGAGGGGCTGGAGCGATAGCACAGCAGATAGAGCGTTTGCCTTGCACGCGGCTGACCCGGGTTTGATTCCCAGTATCCCATATGGTCCCCTGAGCACCCCCAGGAGTAATTCCCAAGTGCAGAGCCAGGAGGAACCCCTGAGCATCGCCGGGTGGGACCCAAAAAAGCCACAAAAGAAAAAAAGTGATCTGAGCCCTGGTCTCAGAAGGTGCCAAGTTCCTGGCGACGCCCGAGCTTTTAGATCCTCTTCAATGACCAGCCCTCCCGCCCCCCCATCCCTGCTGCCCCCCCCCCCCGCCTCTACACTGCCGAGTTCCCCACCCCAGGAAGAAAATGAAATTTAAGTCGCCCTTGAGTCTTTCGACCAGTTTCCTGCAAACGCACCCGATTCCCGATCCGACCGATACTTCGAGGCACGAGAGACCAGGGCACAGTATCTGTATTTATGCACTTTATTTAAAAACAAGTAATACACTTAGAGCCACCAAAAAGGAGATCTGAGTTAGCTTATCCACACCCTGAATTTACAAAAGAAAGTCTTGCACCACAAAAATGAGCATTTGGATTCATTTACAATTGATAGTATCGCTAGATTTCAAAATACCTGAAGATCAAACAATCTGGCCCGGCGCTCACGGGTGGGGGCGGCCTGTGAGGGGCGCAGAGGGTCACTGAGAAATCTGACTTGACCTTGACCAGGGTCGGCTTGAGGAAGCGGAGGCTGAGAAGCATCAAACAAGCAGAGATTCCAGAATTACAGAGAAGTGATCCCTCCTGAACACAGGTCCCAAATCGTCTGGTGGGAGTGGGGGACGAGGATGCCCTTTCATGGGGGAGTGGGGAGTGTGAGAGACGGGGCGGGCAGCGCGGCTCTCTCCCGGGTAACTGCAGCCAGCGAGAGGCGGGAGGGCGGCCTTGGCGAAGGACGGGAGACGCTCTGGGGACGGGCACACCGAGTGCGGCGGCCGCCCCTCGGCCCTAGGACCACCCTGGGGCGCAGGAGAGCCAGCACACCACCCAGGGGACGGTCGCATGAACAAGGCACTCACTGGTTCACGGCCTGGTCGCTGCCAGGCGGACAGGAGAGTCACTCTAAATGAAAAGGAACTTTGCAGCCTCCGTCGGGGCTGAGGGGATGTGGCCCCAGTGGAGTCGCACGTGAAAACCTGGCTAGTCACGACCCACAGAGCCCCACGGCAGGAAGACTCGGGCAAGGGGGACGGGCGGACCCCCACGCAGCCGCTTGGCTGTTCTTGGTTTTCTGGGGCTTAAGGATGTCCTCTGTTAAATGGAAACACGGATCAGACTGACCTCTGAACTCCTGGAGTCGAACTGGTGGGCCTGGACATCCAGTCCGTCAGTGCAACTGCGTTTCGGGGCGCAATGCTCAGATACACCCAGAACCCGGCCTTTGTCTTCCAAAGCTCGGTCCTGCTGGCTCTCTGGACCTCCCTCTAAAACCAACCTTGGAATGGGCACATTCCCATGCCAGAGTATTCCATCGTATCTGTCAGCTGCTACTTTAGGTAACCCGAACCCCAGTGTCCAGCACGTGACTGAACAGAGAGAGGGAAGCCACCTCTGTGGAAATAAACGCTTACGGACAGACTTTCACGGAATCAAGGTGGGAGTCTGACCCAGAGCTCTCTTCGATGTCCGTGCAGTAACAGCCGGCTCTGGACGAGAATCCACCAACACTGACCAGAGGCATACGGGCCCTATCAGTAATGACGACACACAGCAGGCAGTTCTTTCAAAGAAAATAAAAATGAAGTTTTCATCTGATTTGTGACATCTCAGTCCAATGTAACTTAAGCGACAGAGTCTGAGAAAAGCACCGACAGATCTCTAACTGCATCTGGCCATTTCGGCGGCCATCAAGACTTGCTTCAGTTCCGATGGCGGCACTGACGAAGAGGTAGACATGGAAGATGCTGCTGGAACACTCTGAGGCTACTTTTAGGCTAAAATTCTAACGAGCTCAGATGTGCAATCAAACGTAATTTTTTACAAGTTGAATCCTTATCACTGGAGAATCTCACGACATGCTCTTGTGTAAAGGGGAACAGTAGGAAGTATTTAAAAAAAAAAACAAAACAAAGCGAGCCTGTGAAAATCACATCGGGCGAGGCGATGCTAGTGACCCCTGGATTCCGGCAAAGCAGAATCCCACGGCGAATACTGAGCCTGACGACAACTGGATGGCCGTGGGTCACGCCCCGCGCCCCCCCCCCCCCCGCCCCGGCTGTCGGAATTCCTAGGAATTCCCATTCACGGTTCTTGGACGGCACACACGGGGCCCACAGAGGCATCAGCCATGCTGGGAGAGGCCGCTGGGGTTCTGGAAGCTGAGCAGAGACAATGGAAAGACGCGGGTGGTCACAGACCGGGGCCTCCCCAACACACGCACACACACGCACACGCATGCACAGACACGCTCACCCCCCCACCCCCCACGCTCACGGTAAGGCTGCATCTGTTTGTCTGAGAAAGGCACCTCTCACTCGGGGCTGCCGCCCTCCGGCTGACAGCGATGTCCGTGAAAAGCCAGAATGTTCCGTGGAGAAAGTCCAGTACTAAGGATGGAGTGTTTTTCAATTCACATTTGGATAGCCAGGTTTTCTTACATTCAGATTTTAATAAACTAGAATGACAGTCTTGGAAAACAAGCATGCTTGCCTATGAGGAATATAGTATATACAGCCATTGAAACATTTAGAACTCTGCGTCATACTGCAAAAGCTAACGGCTCAACACCCGTCATCCTCCTCGTCTCTGTGCCCGCTGTCTCCGGAAACGAAGATACAAAACAGTAAAATGCACCTACGGTTTATATATATATGTGTGTGTGTGTGTGTGTGTATATATATATATCGTCTATATATTATATATATCCCTATAATATATATAATATATATTTATAAAATATACATACATTTTAACATTTCAAATAAATCTTCATTTCCCAAAGAAATTTATAGCAAGAATACTGAAGGAATGAAAGTCAGATCAACAAAAATTCTTCTCCTAGTTCCGCATCCGAGATGCGGCTCAGCTGCCCGGCTTGAGCCCAGCCGACACGATCACGAAAGCTGAGCACTTTGCCCAGAGATCTGCCTCACGGCAAACTGGTGGAGCCCGTCCCGTAGAAAAACACTGAAGGTCACGGTCACGGGCGGGAAGCATCGGCCCAGGGCAGCTGGGCGTGGGGTGGCCGGGGCGGACAGGCCGGCTCCCCCGGGACGCGGGAAGCGCGGGACGTGCTGAGGCCCCCAGGCCAGCAGCCCTGAAGGCCGAGATGCGGCTGGGGAAGCCGCGCGTGCCCGCCTGGTTGCTCTTGCGGCCAGCCCTCGGCTAGACGGCAGGTGTCCAGGGTCACCGCGCAGGCTGGCCGGGGTGACCGGGACCCGCCTCTGCTCTGAGCAAGACAGAGGGGGCGTTCACAGGCTCGGGGGGATGCGAGGCTGCGTAGGAACTTGAACGTCCGCTGGGCCCGTGCCCCAACGATGCACCTGGCCCGGCAGAGTCCCTGGGGGACGGGGACTGGGTCAGAACACCGACACTCCTCTGACAGAGAGAGACACGGGCGGCGCTTTGAAGGCCACCTGCCTGGACTCCGCAGCCCACCACCCCTCCGCCGGTGCTCCTCCCGGCCCCGTCAGACGGCTCCGTGTCACTGCTGTCGGAACTGAGAGCCTGGGGATGAGGATGCAGGATCTGTGTTAAGCGAGTGGAGTGCGTAGCAATAAGAACTTAAAAAAGAAAAAAAAAGGGAAAAAAATAAAAGAGCCTGAGAGCCTATTTAGCGATGCATTTTTCTGAAAAATCGGGCCTGGGTCGTTCATTTCAAATTTCTATGTTGGTCTCTGACAGAATCTGGACAAAGAAGAGAGAAACTGAGAGGAAGGTGACTGCACTGGGGGTGAGGTGATGAACTCAAGAGGGCGGGGCCACGGGAACCCCCAGAGCAGACGGGGGCGGGGCGGGCTCCCTGGGGCTGAGGGGGGCACAGCCACAGACAGTCCTGGCACGTGGCGGAAGGTGCAGGGACGGGAGCGGGGCCACCTCCGCCAGGGCCGTCAGCGCGAACTGCACCCGATCTCGAGGGCGCTCTGCGGAAAGATGAACAGAGGACTGGTCGGGTACAAAACATTCGCTTTATTTAGTCCCTCTGCAAAAGTGGCGGCCTGAGCTCACCTCGACCCTTTGGGTTGTTAAAAAAACACAATCTTCGTTAGGAACTGCCTTTTGGTTGGTGTCAGAGCATCGATAAACAAAGACGAAAGGGCCAAGGTCACCGGAGACGAGTGACGAGGGCCTGGCCCGCGAGGTTAGGATTTCACTGCTAAGAGATGATCCGACACTTTCGACACCGTGCGACCAGAGTGGGTTTTAAAATGAAAAGAAATGAGAGAGATCCGTTCCGTTTGCTCTTAAAAATAAGCCGAATCTTAAACCTGAATAAGTTAAACCTCCCAGAAAAGCAGACTCGCTCGACTCCTCGTCAGCTAGACTCTAGAGTGGTACCAAACTCGTTTCCAAAACTGTAGTACAATATATAGAAATCTGCTTATTTCAAACTAAATATTTGTTTAGCATTTCTTAATAATAATATATTCGACATATTATTGCGTGTCTTTCTTTCCCCAAACAGGCAGACGCTTTGTCGGGGCTTCCTCTGGAGAGCCGAGGAGCGCCCAAGTGAACACGGGCTCCAGCCCCGCCCGGCCCCAGGCCCAGAGCTGGGCCTCTCTGGCGCCGCCGTGCCCGGCAGGGCGAGTCCGAGCTTCCTTCTTCCGCCATTCCCAGCCACCGCCCGGCTTCTAAGGACCCCGCGACGGTCACCAGGTCACTCGGGGGAGAAGCTATGGGCCGGGCCGGGCCTACGCCTTCCGGCCAGCTCAGGATTCAAGCCTTGGGGGGACGCGGGGAGGGGGGGCGCTTGGAAACTGTTTCCAGGCTCACAGACTCCGGCTGAGCCTGCAGCGACCGGGACAACCTCGGTGTGGGAAAACAGAACACGAATCGCGAACTATACTTTGAACAAACGTTCTCTGTGCTCCTTCAGCAGAACAAAAGGGCGGGACCCGTCGGGCCCTGCCCGGGACGCCTGGATCTCGGCTGTGCAGTTGGTGATTTTGTAAAGAACGAGACGGCGAGGACGGCCACTGTCATACAAAGACCTTGGCCAGCGCGTCGGCCCCGGCGCTGGCGATGTAACATTTGGAAGGGTGGAAAGCGACGTCGTGGATGGATTCTTCGAACTTCTTCCGATGCGCCGTGAACTCCTGGATACACGTCTTGCTCTCTAGGTTCCACAGACGGATGGAGCAGTCGTGACCTGCGGCGGGAGGGGGGGAGAGTCACTTCGGCCCCAGGAGGCGAGGACAGGGAAGTGAGGCCCAGCGGGCGGTGTCATCGTTACTTACTGCCGGACATCAGGTACAGGCCGTTGGGGTCTACCGCCAGGCTGGTGACGGCTTCTAGGTGGGCCACCATGGAGTGGACGAGCTTGCCTTCGGGAGACAGAGAGGGACCTGTGACGGCCGCCCCTCCCCAGAGCCTGGGCAGCCGCGGGGAGAAGAGCCCGCAGGGGGTCCTTCCCCCTCTCGCGCCTCCTTCCTCCCACGCCAGGAAGAGACCCAGAAGCTCTAGCTCCACATTTGGTTCCTGGCTTTCAACCCAGCAGCTGGAAGGCGGTCACCTGGACACACATGTCCTTTAAGCCACCAGCGCTCACCACAAAGTTAGGTTTCACTGATCACCCACTTTGCTTTCAAAACAGAAGAATGACGGGGGGTTACCGGGACGCAAGACTGACAGAGGCCAAAGAACAGAGAGAAAACCTGGCGGCGGTTCTGGTGGAAAAATGAAATACAGAAAAGGATCAAAACTACTGACTCACTCGTCACTGACGGGCAAGCAAAGCCAGCAAGAGCCCATCGTGGCCGCAGGACGGAAACTGTAGGCCCCGAGGGTGCCGGCCGGCCGCTGAGGGCTCCCTCCTGCACACGGCGCCTCAGGGACCTCCCCCAGGCCGGGGAGCCGGACCCAACGAACACTGAGGAAGCCACTAGGTCCCAATCAACCAGGACCAAATCATCAGTACCGTGTGATAGGGAAGCCTGGTCCTCGGGAAGGGTGACGACGCAGACAGAACGGCCCAGGGGGCGGGGAGGGGAGCTCCCCATCTGCGATCGTGCAGTTACTCCACAGCTGAACAAGCATACGTGAAACACGACCTCGACTTCCAACCAGCTTGCTCAAGGCAGTGACCATTCCCGCTGGCGTCTGAGTGACGCCAGCCGTGTGTTCCCGGCAGCAAGGGCTCTGCCGGGCCTAAGCCCGGCGTGTGCTCCCTGGCAGTGCTCCTTCTCCGTGCGGGGAATCCCTGCAGCCTTGGGATGGCAGAAAGCAGGGCAGGGAGCAGAGCCCCGGGCACAGCGCCTGGCCCTCAGCTGTGAAGCCCAATGCACACGGATATGAAGGTCCTGACAGAGGACACCGCGTTTCGCTCCATTTGGGGCCACAACTGGCGCTGCTCAGGGATCACTCACTCCAGGCTCTGCGATCAGGGGCCGCTCCGGGCCCGCTCAGCAACCAGACGGGGTGCCCGGGATCGAACCCAGTCGGCAGAGCCCGAGGCCAGCACCCTACCCGCTGGGCCATCGCTCCAGCCCCTACGTCAGTGCTCACCTGTGTTGTTGTCATAGAATTTGATGTGCTTGTCCTCGTGGGCAGTGATGGTGACGGGAAGCGTCGGGTGGCTGATGACTCTGTTGATTTGGCAGGAAGCGTTGGCCGCTGAGGAGAGAGCATTGCAGAAGCGACACCCATTAGAGCCGGGACCTCCTCACACGGGCCCTGCGTGACGCGCCCCGAGCGGGGGCCAGAGCACCGACACTCCCTGGCCAAGGGTTTCCTCTGGGTATTGCTGCTACTGCCAAGTGTCACCGCTGCTTACAGACAGGCAATTCCCGACGGGAAACAGCGCTCTTGGTCGAGACTGAGCCCCGTGGGACCTGCATCATTAAAGATGAGCTGAGGGGCTGGAGTGATAGCACAGCGGGTAGGGCATTTGCCTTGCACGCAGCTGACCCGGAATCGGTTCCCAGCATCCCATATGGTTCCCCGGGCACTGCCAGGGGTAATTCCTGCGTGCATGAGCCAGGAGTCACCCCTGTGCATTGCTGGGTGTGACCCAAAAAGCAAAAAAAATAATAATAAAATAAAGATGAGGTGACAGAGCGTCTCTCGGCCTCTCTGTTCTCTTGCTCATCTTCCCAGAGATGAAGATACATTTGGCGTCTTGGGGAGACGGCGTCAGTCCAATATCACACCTGTGCGACAAACCGTCTGCCACCCAACGGGATGGCTACACGCTGCTCAGTGTGAAGGACCAACAGAAGCTCAGTGGCAGAACCGGGGTCCCCGAAAAGGGGGCTCCCCAAGTTAGGGTTGGACAGAGTCAGCCCCTCTTCCGACTCTAACCTCAAGGCCCCACGAGACGATGCCAATCAGACCACTGCTGGGGTCGGAGCGACAGCACAGAAAGGAGGGCGCACGCCTGGCACACAGCTGTGACCCCCAGCACCTCGGGAGGGACCCCCGAGCATGTCGGGTATAACACCCCCCCCCGAAAACAAAGAATAACTCAGACAACTGCCCAAGTTAAACTCTAAATCAATCGCTCCTAAAGGCCTTTCGTTAAAATGAAAATCAATCACGGAAGAAATCACGGTTTTCAGTGATATTGGGGGGCTAGCAGGGATTCCCCGCGAAGCTCAGGGGTTCCTCCTGGCTCGGTACTCGGGAATCATTCCCGGCAGGCTCAGGGAACCATACGGGACGCTGGGGATCAAACCCGGGTTGGCCGTGTGTGTGCAAGGCCCTGACCCACCGTGCCATCGCTCCAGCCCAAGTACAGTGGTTCTTGTGAAGACTAAAAGATACCATTCTCTTCAAGTAGAATCGAAGACACATAATCAGGCACAGAATTGAGTTTGTGTCATCACTTGAATAACCTCAAGTATGACTTCAAACAGGACAGTCACAAATGTGCATCCACTTAAACCAAATTCTGAAAATCTGCAGTAGCAGACAGACGCATTTTTGGTTGTTGTTTTTTCTTTTTTTGCGACACCATGGACTGAGGCCCTCACACACGGTCAGTGCTCGCCGCCGCCCCCCCGCCCCCCGCCCCAGCCGTCACTCTCAGCGGCCCTGGCCCGCGGCCAGGAGGCAGGACGCTCCGCTCAGAGGGACAGGACCACTGGCACGTACTCGGGTCCACGTCGGACTCCAGGGTGAGGATGCGCTGCTGCGTCTCCATGTTGAAGATGCTGGTGTAGCCTTTGCTGAAGGCCGCGACCATGTGGCTCGGGTCGCTGCTCACCAGGTCCACGGACGCAGGGACCCCCAGCTCTGCAGGCGAGAAAGATCCGGAGAGCGGGTCGGGGGCCGGGGAAGACGAGCAAGGGAACAGAGACCCCTCCTCCGCTCCCGCACCCCCCCACCTGCCGCTCGGCCCACAGGCACCAACAGAGTCCTGCAGCCCCCCACCCCCCAGCCCGGCACGGCGGGGGGCTCTAGCGGCGCGACTCTGACTGACACGGCCCCGTTCCAGGTGAGCAGGCCGTCGGCAAGCGGCAGCTCACGCGCTCAGCACCCGGGCCCCTCGCCCTGAGTCCCGCAGACGCGCCTGTGACCTTCCTCTCGCCTGCTCCTCTCTACGTCTCCTCCGAGTGGGTGTGGGCGGGGGGGCGGGTGGCTTGTTTGGGGGCCACACCTGGCGATGCTCGGAGGTCACTCCTGGCGGAGCTCGGGGGACCCCATGGGATGCTGAGACGGAACCCGGGCTGGCCACGTGCCAGGTCAGCCCCCCTCCCGCCGCGCTGTGGCTCCAGCCCCTGAGTAAGTGTGTCGTTGGTCCGTACCTCACTTAAAGGACGTTAGTCTTCAAGGACTGAGGTGCCGGGGTTTGACTCCTGCTAAATGCAGGCGCGATGCCAGCACTCACCCGTCACCTCAGAACCCCGCCAGCCTCCCCTGCAGCTGCCCCTCTGCCCCGACAAACTCAGCTCTGTGGGTCAACTCTCCTTGCACTGCCTCTGGCCTTTCTTCTCTTTCAAAGTGAGTCCCTTTAGGGCTGGAGCGACAGCACAGCGGGGAGGGCGTCTGCCTTGTACGCGGTCGGCCCGGGTTCAATCCCTGGCATCCCATTGGGTCCCCGAGCACCGCCAGGAGAAATTCCTGAGTGTAGAGCCAGGAGGAACCCCTGAGCACTGCTGGGTGCAACCCAAAAATTAAAAAAAAAAGCATAAAAAAAGTACGTTAGTTTATGGAAACCCCGCGGTTCACAACGTTGTCTGCTGTAACAGAGGAAGGGCCTCTGCTGTGCCCACACCGACGCCCTCTCTCGCGCCCCTGCCGTGTCTGAGTCCTGCTCTGCCTCGGTCCCCTTCCTAACCACCCCAGGTGCCACCCCTGTGAGTACTGTTAGAGCAAATAACAGGAAATGAACTTGCTTTAGACCTGCCCAGGGGGTGGGGGCAGGAGGGAGTCTGGCGGGAGGGGCAAAGGGACTGACGTCGAACATTCCAGTCTGAAGCAACTCTGCCACGAACAGCTTTGTTGATCAGTGTCTTAATTAAAAACATTTTAAAAAACCCCACGTCTACGGGTCTCGAGAGAGAGTACAGGGCACGTGCCTTGCACACAGCCTGCCGGGGGTGATCCCTGAGCACAGAGCCAAGAGTAAGTCCTGAGCGCCACCTGATGCGGCCCCCAAACGAGCAGAAACTCAGAGGAGTAAAATATCAGGCCCTGGGGTGGGGTGGGGTGGGGGGCTCGGGTGGCAGGGTGGCTCCTCAGCGGCGTCCGGGGCCCGCCTGGACCCCTCAGGCTCCCGGGACCCAGGGTCACCTGGGCCCTGAGCAGGGGGAGGTGGCCCCCGCCAAAGCAGTGCTAGAAAATATTCGATACGTGAAAGACTTCGGATTGTCACTGAGTCGTACAGATCCTAAGGGGAACTCATCAGACCGAGAGACGGCCTGGGCACCGGAGAACAGAGACCGCGACCGTCAGCACAGCAGGCGGAAACCCGCCTGGGAGAGAAACTGAGGCATGCTGGGACAGGGATGGGCGTCAGCTGCAAAGCACACGCGTGGCACGTGTGAGGCCCTAGACCTGATTCCAAGTAGGACCAAAATCAAAAGTGTGTGTGTGTGTGTGTGTGTGTGTGTGAGAGAGAGAGAGAGAGAGAAAGAGAAGAGATGAAATGAGAGAGCTGTTTTTTTTTTAAGCCAAGCCGAAGTGTGCATATGGGGGCTGGAGCAATAGCACAGTGGGTAGGGCGTTTGCATTGCACGTGGTCGACCCAGCATCCCATATGGTCCCCCGAGCACCGCCAGGAGTGATTCTTGAGTGCAGAGCCAGGAGTAATCCCTGAGCATCGCTGGGTGTGACCCAAAAAGCAGGAAAAAAAAAATGTGTATATGACGAATGACATTTGGGTAGTCAACACCTGGAAGCCACGTCCTCAGAATACTTAGCCACCACCTAAGAAATGCAAACTAAAGCCACGGTGAAATCCTGCTCCTCTCAGCGGATGCCTAGAATCCAGCGGACAAAGCCCACCCCACCTAAGGAATCAGTCAGTGGCCGAGACCCTAAAGGCCTCGCCACTACTGACCGGGCTGCAGCCGGGCCCAACCGCCCTGGGTTTAAAGCCTGGCAACTCCACAGAGTTCGACACGTGCCAACCCCAAGGCTCAAGAGACCCATGTACCAAACATGTGAATGTTCCTCAGGACAAAAATCTGAAAAAAAAAAAAAAAAAAAACCCAAATGTTCACCAGCAGCTAAACAAATAAGCGTAGTGTGACTTACTGAAGCATCAGCGAGTGGTGACAATGTGTGACTCACAGAGCAGCGCAGAGGTGACACAAACGACTCCGTGACAGAGAAAACCCAGACTCCACCGTTCACATACACGACATGCCCCCCCCACACACACACACGCAGTGAAGTGAGACTGAGCCTGAGGAGGGCGGCCACAGCGGGCCTGCCTGGGGGACCGCGGGACGTGGAGGGGCTGGAGACGCCCCGTGTCATGGCGATCAAACCCGCCAAGCATGACTTTAGTGTCTGTGTTCCCTGCGGTGTTCTTGAATGTGTTCGTTCTTCTGATGTCCAAGTCAGGTGCTGTCCCACTGCGCGCCCTTCAAGGGTCCCGGGGCGAGCATCCCAGCCGTGCCCGGGCCCGGGGTCCCGTCGCCTGACCGACGCGGCCGAGCTGCCCGCGGACAGTACCTGGGTTCTCGGCGAAGACGCTGAGCGCGGGCGCCGCCTCGCTGGTGTCCCACAGGCGGAGGGTGCCGTCGGCCGAGCAGGACAGCAGGCGCTGGTGCGCGGCGCTGTAGGCCAGTCCCCACACGGCGTCTGTGTGGCCCAGCAGCGCGGCCCGGAACACCGACGGGTCTGCGCCGGAGACGCGGGATCAGGGCGGCCCGGGCACCCCGCGCGGGGACGGGGGCGCGTCTCCCGCCCCCCAGGACAGGGCAGAGGCGCGGAGAGGGGCACACGCGAGGACGCTCGCCTCGGACGGAGGCCCCCGCCCGCCGGGAGGGACCCCTGAGCCCAGAACCAGGAACAAGCCCTGAGCGTCGCCGGGCGTGGCCCAGGAACAACACAGTAGGTTTGAAAAAGGAAAAGAATGAGACACTGCAAGGGGTGGGCTGAATCTCCATGAAGAAGATCGGGCCTGGGCCTTGATAAATGTTATATTTAAGATGGGGAAAAGAAAATGAGATGAACGATCCCAAAGGGGCCGCTCACGCGACCCAGCCGGCTTCCATGCCAGACCCTACGTGGTCCGAGCCTGCCAGGACGATGATCCCTGAGCACAGCAGGGCAGCCCACCCCCAATAAGAAAGAGAAATTCTCACGTCGAGAGCTCGAGGATGAACAAATAAGCGAGAGACCGGAGAAAGCGGCCCACAGCGACCCGGAGCTGCACAGTCCCCAGGCAGGCGAGCCCGTCCAGGTGAGGGCAGGGACCGGGGCCGCCCGGTGCTCATGAGTCTGGGGTCCCGCCCAGGGATTCCTGGCCCACCAGCCAGTGGTCCCAGCAGTGCCAGGGATCAGCCGGGCCACCGCAAGGAGCTCAGGGGACCACAGGGGGCCACGCGGGGCCCCCGCACTAGCGGACCCTTCGCGACCATCGAGGTCATTTTGTCGACACAGACTGCAAAGAACCACCGTCTCGACAGCCTCCGACGAAGCAAGGAGATGGGGCCCGGCAAAAAGGAGCTTAAGGCGTGCAGGGGCCCCGCGTCAGCCAGGACTGGCCAGGACTGAGCCCTGAGCACAGAGCCAGGCAGGAGCCCCGAGCAGGCCGGGTGTGGCCCGAACACCAAGATCAACGAACCAAGTAAGAAGCGGACGGGAGCACTGACTCTCCCGCACGGCTGCCCCTCGGGGACAGAGGGTCACCGGGGGGATCTGGGGAGCACTGGGGAAAGGGCCCGGGTCCAGGGATAACCGCCTCCCAGGAGGACAGCAGGCAGTGCCGCACCAGCACCCCCATGTGAGGCCTTCCCAGAGGGACCCCGCCTTTCTCTCTTCCAGCAGGACACGCAGACAGACGCAGGACAGAGGGGCGGGGAGGGGAGCGAGAGGGAGGGGGAGAGGAGAGACCCGGCCCGGCCGCGCCCGACGCACCGTAGGAGTCGTAGGGGTCCACGTTGGGGTTGGTGGTGTTCCAGCCCTGGATGCGCCCGTCGCTGCCGCCGCTGTAGCACTGCTCCCCGTCACTGCTCATCACCACGCAGAGCACCGGGCCCCTGGGGGAGACGGGGCCAGAGCTTGTAGTGACCTGACCCTCACCCCCACCCCCCCCCCCCCAAAAAGCAACAAACCCAGGTCTGGAAGCCAAGCCCAGACTAGAGTCTGGAGAAGGATCCGGGAGCACTTTCTAGTTTGCAAAGGGCCAAAACACACAACACACAAGCCCGGGGACCGACGCCCGCGCCCTGCCGGCCTCCCCTTCCTATCCGCGGAGCCGCCTCTGGGCCGGGGGGCGGCGGCTCACTCCTGGTGGTCTCATGAGGTGACCGGTGGCGCCTGGCCTTCCCGGAACAACGGCCCCGCCAGAAAGGAACGCAGACGCCCCAGCCCTGCCTCTGTGCGCGTGTGCCTCACGCGTCACGCACGTGAGATCGGACTGGGCCAAGAGCCTCTGCGCGCGACAGGCTTGCCTGAGCCTCTGCCAATCCCCTCCCTGGCGCTTCCTCCCCAGCCCCGGGGCAGGCGCGGGGAGTGAGGGCGATACGACCTCCAGGACAGGCCGCCGCGCGCTTACCTGTGGGCCCGGAAGGTGTAGATGGGCTCCACGTCGAGAGACGTGCTCCTGAGGCGGAGGGAAGCGCGGTGAGTTCGGGGCCCGACACGCACTGCCCGGACCAGCCCGCGGCCTCGAGAAACAGGGCGGGCGCCCGTGGGGAGGCGCCGGCCCTGCAGGAGACTGAGCCTGGTTCGACGACTCAGCGCAGGTCTGTCCCCCGGAGCCCCTGAGCACCGCTGGGCGTGGCCCCGACCCAACCAAGGAAGGGGGCTGAGGAGGCCTCCCCTCCCGCCCTCCCCCCGTCCCCGCTGCCCAAGTCCAGCCCGGTCAGGGCCAGGCCGCCCCCTGCCCCAGCCGGCCACGGGCGCTCAGACAGGGAACGCCAAGCCGCCACCGCCCGCCACTCCTTCCTGCCGGCAGCCCCCCGCCGAACGTGACAGCAAGCACGGGGGAGCAACCCTGCGGTGCTGAGGAAAGAGCCAGGGGAGATGCTTGGGGGGACTGACACCAACTCGGGTGTTGTTCTACCGAGAGCTCCCGGGAGGGTTGCAAGGGCGACAGTCTCACTTTTTGGTCGGAGCCGTTTTCTGCAAATTCCACATCTTCAGCGTGTGATCCTCTGACGCGGTGATCAGGACGGGCTCGGTGGGGTGGAAGGCGAGGGCTCGGATGCCGTCGAAGTGGCTCCGCAGGGTGAACTTGGGGTTCCACGTCTTCCTCAGCGCGTCCTTGTTGTTGGCAATCTGGCGGAGAATCGGAACGAAGAGGCTGAGACACATTCTCCTCGGAGCAGGAAACGCAGACCCTGCTGACTGGCGACCACACCACCATTTTGTGATTCTCCAAGCGATCTCTTTTTTTTTAATAGAAATAACCAAAACAATGTGTAGAGTCAGCAGAACGTCAAGAGCAATTTCCTTGGACGAAATACGCAGGCTGTTAAGGACAGCAGGATTCGACGTCAAAAGGGGCTAAACGAAGTCACAGAAGAGACCAAACTTCTCCGGGGCCCAGAAAGAAAAGTGAGTCCCGCCTAAATCACAGCCCTCGGAGCTTCTCTCCCGGCCAGGTCACGGGGACCAACGGCACTGAGGCGAGAACGAGATGCTCGTGACAAGCGGAGAAGGGACCGGACGGCAGCCTGTGGGGCCCCACGCCCAGGGGACGGCTGGCAGGGCGCGAGGTGCCGTGTCCAGCACTGCAGTATATGAGGGGCCAAACTCGGCCCGAGTCCTGCGACGAAATAGGCTGGGCGGGCGGACGGCTGGACAGAGGGGTCGGGACTCCCGGGGACGGGGCGGAGGGATGGGCGCAGAAGGAAGGCGACGTGTTCCGATTCAAACGGGTGTCAAAGCTAGACTAAAAGTTCCAGAGTCGGGGTCAAGGGACCTTCCTTGCAATCAGCTGACCTGGCTCTGTCAGGAGTGATCTCTGAGCACAGAAAGAGGAGCAAGCCCTGAGCACTGCCAGGTATGACACCCCCCCCCCCACACACACACACACACAAGACAGCTAAGCTAAGCGGTGCTGTGAAAGACAGGCAAAGTTATCCAAAGGCAGCACTGTAGACAGGAACGGTTTTTCAGAAACTCTGCACCCACATGGTGTTGCGAAGGGAACACCAGGGCCGGGTTCCATCACTGCACCGAACAGTCAGGGCACTAGTTCTGGGGAGAGAATCGGACTCGGGTGCAAGGTGCAAGTGAGGCGAGAACTTCAGGCCACCACACAGTGGCAGGGAAAGATGAACCGAACCCCCCGCCCACACACAGGGAAGCAGCTCTAGCCCTGCGACATGAAGGGGACAGCAGCCCCCAGAGAGCGGGGGGCTGGCTGAGGCGAGGGTGGACGGAGGGGCGGGGGAAGGGCTGCCACAGAGGCGGGTGGGAGCGGCAGGAAACACGGTGGAGGGAAGGGATTGGGATCGGGGTCGGAACGCGAACGCTCGACGCCTAGTCGTGAGTAACTGTCCTTCACGGCAATTCAGTGAAAACAAAAAGGAAGAAAGTTTTTTTGTTTGTTTGTTTTTTGGGCCACACTCAGGGGTTCCTCCCGGCTCTGCACTCGGGAATGACTCCTGGCGGTGCTCGGGGGACCGTACGGGATGCTGGGATCGAACCCAGGTCAGCTGTGTGCAAGGCAAACGCCCTCCCCGCTGTGCTATCACTGCAGCCCCAAGGAAGAAAAGTTTTAAGAGTGTTGATGGGGAATGAAAAAATAGAGAGCGAGAGAGAGTTTCCACTGTTTCTCGTCTCTCTGCCCCTCCAGTCTGTGGCCACACGTGGCAGCCCCTCAGCCCAGGGCCCACGGGGGGGGGGGGGTGAGTCCTGGTCTGCAGGGGGGCCAGGCCGGTTCCTCTCTCCCCACGCCCCCAGGCAGGAGCCTTCTGGTCTCCGACGAGACAGTGAGGCGTGAGAGGGGCTTCGCCAAGGGAGAGACGGGCGAATACTCGATGCGGACAATCCGTTACATGGGGCCCGACCACGGAGGCGTGGGGGAGAGAACCGGGCTGAGATTAAGCGAACGCCCGGTGGGGTACGAGGGTCTCGCTCCCGGCCAGCCTTCACCCCCAGAGAGCCCTGCACACCCCCAGCCGACCCGCAGCCCACACCACTTCCGGGCAGACAAAGGCAGATACACGGGCACGAACCACGAGTCATCACCGATGCCTTAAAACAGCCACCGGGACCAGGACCTGGGATGGGAAAGAGAATCTGTTCCCCCACCAGAGACAACAGGCGCGCTCCACTGACAAAGGGATTCAGGAAAAGGTCACAACGGTCATCTCTCCAGGCGGGGACAAGGATGTGACTGTCCTTAAGGTGTATTCCTGGGGGGTATGGTGCCGCCAACAGGTCAACCTGTCCCGTGGGGCGAGTGCACCAGCAGCCTGATGCTGCCTTCAGGCTTCCTGACACCCCAAAAAGTGCCACTGTGCCTTTGGCCAGACCCCAACAACTTGGGACCAAGCTGAACAAGAAATTAAATGGCCAAGAGTTAGGTATATGGGAGCCAACCACCTCGGACTCAGCTATACAAGCTCACTTATTGGCCTTATTTCAGGGACCCATAGATAAATCTCGGAAGAGACCCAAAGCCACAGTTAATCTCAGACCCCTGCACGGCTGAACAGACTACAATGAATCGGAGGGGGGCGACTGGTCTGTGCCTGCCCAAGCGGAGCCCCAGCAGCCACCTGCTTCCACAACCCCCGGCCTGACTCCACCATCTCCGGACGGACCTCACTGAGACAGAATCTGCTGAGAGTTCAGGTATGCAGGTTTTGCGGCTGAAATCTCCAGGCTTTCACGGAGTTTGGGTGGGCCACCTCCCCCCACTTCCCATATACGTGGAAGCACTGGCAGCCACCCCCACGAACTAACTCCAACACCACCCTGTAAACTCTAGTACTGGCCTTGCTTCAGAGACCCATAAATAAATCTCGCAAGAGATCAAAAGCCAGAGACACAGCAGTGAGTCCCAGAAGAGATCTCTCTGGGCCCCATACCACGCCAATTTCACCGGGGCACCCCGGACGGAGCAGGTGCAGACTCCCCGCCTACTTCGAAGGAAACCCAGCAACTCGGAGCTTCCACAAGCCAGGTCCAGGCACGCAGGCTCCAGGATCAAATCTCCATGCCACACGGTGGCAGAGGTGCCGGGCTGTCCCTTCCCGGCTCCCCTCCCGCTCATCAGCCTGGCCGTCGCCCCCACAATGTGCCCCCGGGAGCCATCTTAGCGCACCAACAGCCCTGGTCCAGAGACACAGCAGCGAGTTCCGGAAGACACCACAGAGCCGGAGGTCTCTCCAGGCCCCTTATCAAGCCAGTTCCACCGGGGCACCCCAGATGGAGCAGGTGCAGTCTCCCTGCCTATTCCAGATGGAACCCCGGCGACCAAGAGCTTCCACAAGCAAGGCCCAGGCATGTGGGTTCCAGGACTAAGTCTCCAAGCCTCATGGTGGCAGCGGTGCCGGCCTGTCCCTCCCCGGCTTCCCACCGCTTGTCAGCCTGGTTGTCACACCCACAATGTGCCTCCGGGCGCCATCTTAGTGCGCCAACAGCCCTAGTCCAGAGGCTCCCAACTGAATCCCAAAATGGATCAGCGCTCTACAGAGATGTCTCTGGAACCCAACCATCTACAATCTAGGATGCCAGAGGGGCGCGGCCGTGGCACCCGATGTATTAGGAACGAGCAGTGGAGAACAAGTGATCCAGCGTCTGCCCTGGCAGGCAGGCTTGAATGGTGGTGGGAAAATTCTAGCAAAACATAATGCCCAAAGAGAGAGAGTATTGGAGAAACGGTCTGCCGTAGAGGCCGGGTGAAGACTGGGATGGTGGGGGCGGGGGTGGGGGGATACTGGGGACGCTGGTGGTGGCAAGTGTGCACTGGCGGAGGGATGGGCGTTCGATCACTGTATGGCTAAATCTTGAACATGAATCACGGTGATTCAATGGGAAAAAAATTAAAAAAAAAAAAAAGACGTATTCCTGTTTCAAGGTCAGGCTGAACCAGACCTGCACCCAGTCCCCGGGGGCTTCCCCGCCACTGGCCTGTCCCCGGGGGCTGCCCCCGCCGGCTGCTCCTCACAGCTCAGCCCTTACTCCCCAGGAGCCCGGGCCACACTCACGTCGTAGGTCAGCGAGTCGGCCTCGTTGGCCACGGTCAGCCCGGCCAGCTCCCCGAGGCCCAGCTCGCTCTCCAGGGCCTCGTCCGCTCCCATGATGAACGACTTCCCCGAGGAGGGCGGGAACGTCAGCGCTTCCACTGCGAGGAGAACAGGAAAGGAACGTTCAGAACAACCCAAAGCCCTGGGCCGGAGAGTGCGGGGCGAGGGCACCTGCCCGCAAGAGGCAGCGCTGGCCGCTGCAGGAGGGCCAGTCCCCTCGGCCGAGACTAAGCCTCGCGGTGGACGAGCCCCAAAGCGCTTCCACGGGCGCATCAGACTCTCTCGCGCTGGCACAAATTCCAGAATGAATCGAAGCTGCTCCGCATCCAGAGGCCACCAAGGGCATCACGTCCTTTCTTCCCGGGCTGGACTGGAGCCCGGCACGGCCATCACAGGCCACTAGGGAGACGGTGCGGTGACTCCCAAGACCAAGTTCAGACCGTGCACAGAGGGAAAGGCTCCCGGCCCGGCCCAGACGCAGGAAGCCCCAGGCCCGGCCCGAGCGTCCAGACTCTCAAACACCTGCCCTGCAGCGCGGTCCCCCAAAGTCTCCTGCCCTCGCCCCGGGGCCTTGCCGCGGCTCCTCACGGTACCTGTCACTCGGGCGGCAGCACAAATCCCTGCTGAAACTCTTGCTTACTGGAGGAAGAGAAACGCTGACTTGCTCCTCCTGAGATCGGGTCTTAGACTAACTCAAACTGGCGAAAATTCTTACATGAGTCAGTGATAAGTTGCTCATGTAAACTATCGGAGAACACCGACTTGAGACTGAGCCCCATCTTTCCCTGCATGGGCGTGGTCTCCCCAGGGCCCCCGGGATGCTGGCACCGGCCTGGGAGCGCAGGCCGTTAGTTTATCCGCCCTTCACCGAGCCGGAAAACCTGAGGCTGGATCCGCCCACTGCAGCTGGACCCGAGCCGACCGGGGGTTCAGGACAGAGCACACGGCCGACGCCCCCCCCTGCAAATGGCTTTTGCCGGGACCCCGGGAATACTCACCTTCATCCGCCCTGTTCATCTCGTGCTCGGGCCCCCGGGAGCTGCTGGGCCTGGCGGGCGGCCCCACGGAGGGCTGCAGGGAGGGCAGCTCGTCCACGTCCCGCAGGTTGGCCAGCATGTCTTGCAGTTTGGACCTATTGGGCCCTGGCCCAGAAAAGGAGCAGAAACAGAGAGACACACGCAGACGAAGGGAGAGGGAGGGAGAGGGAGGGGAGGGAGGGGAGGGAGGGAAGGGAGAGAGGGAGGGACGGAGGGAGGGACAGAGAGAAGGGTGGGTGGGAGGGAACAAAAGAGAGGAAACGATTAATGGCGGCCAAACCGCACCAAGATCTCGTCCACAACCGACATTCGCCGTCAGACTCCCGCGTTCTGATCAAAGGAACTGGCTGAAGCGGGAGTTTATTGTGTCTTGAAAAGCATTTTTTTAAACTTGGGCTTTAAAAGATCAGACTAACGCAAACATCACTCCAGCTGCGCGATACGGAGCGCTCGGGCGTGCTCGGATGCTCTGCCAGCCGCGCCAGCCAGTGCCGGCACCATCCCTCCAGCTACGGCACCCGGCCACCTCCTGCCCTACGGCCACTCACCTGAGCACTGGGGCTGCGTTCTCCCACTTGCCTGTTTTGACTGTTTTATATAGGATAGAGGCTGAAACAGATCTTCGGTAGTTTTTCCTGTTACAAGTTTAATTAAGAATGGGAAAATCTTACCCAGGGTCCGTTACGGATTTTTCCCCCTACACCAGCAAAGAATGCAACTATTTTTCAGCAACTTTAACCAATACCGAGAATTCTAGGCCAAGGCAGTCAGTCCGGATACACAATTTGACTGGAAATATTTCTACTGGGCGTATTAAAAAGACACCAGCCTGCCGAGGGGGCGAGAGTTCAATTTAAAAAAGATCGATGGCCGTTTATCAATCAGGACTTCAGCATCAACGCAAAGGCGTTTTGGTCCTCGGTGCTCTTGGTTCGTGTGGCCGAAGCCTTCGAACGTGCCCAGGCGGCCGCTTCATCCGGGTCCCAGGAACCGGAGGCGGCAGAATCACAAGGCAGCACAGTCCCCCCGAGAGCACTTCCCCTTGCCCAACCACGAGCGTCCAGGAGCCACGTGCCTGACCACCGACCAGACTCCCCAGATTCAGGAAACCTGAGACCTTCCGTTAGTAGGAATACCGTTCCAGTCAAATGATGCAGGTTTGAAACTGAAAAACTAAATTTCAACTAAAGCTATGCCTTGGGACCGGCAGGAGCGGATGGGATCATCAATGCGCAGCAGAATCCTACGAACCCCTTGGATGACTTTCTGACAGAAAAGGCTTCGCCTTTCCAGACATTTGTTACTGTATCCTAATGACTTAAGAAATGTATCAAAACTTTTTTTTTTTTTTTGCTTTTTTGGGTCACACCCGACGATGCACAGGGGTTCCTCCCGGCTCTGCACTCAGGAATCACTCCTGGGCGTGCTCGGGGGACCCTATGGGATGCCGGGGATCGAACCCGTGTCCCCGCGTGCAAGGCAAACGCCCTCCCCGCTGTGCTGTCACTCCAGCCCCAACTTATCAAAACTTTAAGTCAGTCTAGAAATAAAATACTCTGCTTGTTCCTAATAATAACCACAGATTCTTTTCAGATTTTCAGTTTAATGCTTTTGCCGTGGCTCCAAGAAGCCTTAACCAATCACATCTATGTTTATGACTAATTTTTAAATCAGTATTCTTTGGGTAAAAAGGCACAATTTTTTAGGCTTTTACTATTAATTGTTCTCACTATGACTGAATTTCTACCATGGGGACATTAAGTGACAACACCTCTCCATAAGCTCACGGCTGGTAAAAAGACACTATCGCTAGAGGCATAACATCACCTTTGATCGATTCCTGCAGAACAGTTATAAACTTTAAAATCGAGCCAATAAAGATGCAAATATTTATAAGTAACTGCCAGGTTGTAAAAGACAATCCCAACAGGATCAGTTTCCTGAAAGTGACTTTGAAAAATCGTATCATCACTCTAAGGAAAGAAGGAAAAATATATATATATATATATTCTTGCAGCCTTCTGCAGCCTTTCAATTCCAGCCTCCCTGGTTGGGTCTTAGCCCCCTCTGACTCCATTCTTCCATCCCTGAGGTGGGCGCTCCTGGGCCCGAAGACCCCGGGCCTGGGCACCGTGCAGCCCTCCCGCCCTCAAGCCGCCCTCCCACCCTTCTCAGGATACCGATGAGCCCGCGGGGCTCAACCACACTCCGAAGCCGCCCTTACCGAGCCTAGGAAAGCTTACCCGACTGCTACCAGCATTCATGATTTGCAAAATGAATGTTTTCTATATGTACGTGTATATGATTCACAGGGCGTGAGCGTTCTACAATCGCGGTTTCTGGCTTGGATGCGGCACCCATTTCATCAAAAAGGAAAAAGCTGATCGGTAATAAAATGGTGAATTGAACCGTGCCCCCGCCCCCCTCGTTTCAAATGAGAAGATACTTTCGGAAGTCACATACTCGACACGGTGCCCTGTATAGCATATAGGAGTGGCGAGAGCGAACGAGTCGTGTGGATGGACAGAGAGAATATTCAGGGGTAGAAATTAATTTTCTCTTTTGTCTCTAAGGTCTAAAATCAGATGCAATCATTTTGGTGGGTATCCAGAGGGTCACACAGCGTGAGATTTTTTTCACTGTCAATAGTAAAAAAAAAAAAAAGGTCTTTGTGGCCAGAAAGTACCCACACTTGTGAACATCCAATTATTGTCCTGTTTGAAGCCACAAGCCCACGCTTCCGTGAGTCTCTGGGTTGCCCATCAGGCCGTGTCGTGGTTCCACAACACACGTCCAGTTTTAAGTTCGTGAACTCAAACAGCCTCTCACTTAATTTCAACCCCTGAGAACAGGTGAACGGAAAGACGTCAGGCACAGAAAAGAGTAAGTAGCTCAGGAAAACATTGGAGGAAAAAAAACGGGGAGGAGAGAGAGGCGCGGGTCGTGACGGACAGACAGTGTATTCCACTTACTCTTCACCCCCTTCTTCCCCTTCCTCTCCTTTTTGTACTGCTCCTTGAGCTTGGTGATCACTCCCTGGTCCACATTCCAGGCTTCCGGCACCAGACCTTGGTCCTCCTTCTCTAAACGGAGGGAAACAGACGAGACAGCCTTGTTCAGTGAGGTTCCGAGCGCACGGCGGGACGTGACCCCTGACGCAGGCCACCGTCTTCCAAAGCCACCGCCTGCCCGCCGGAGCAGTCGCAGGACCAGGAGACCGAGTGGGCGTCTCCAGGTCCCAGCACACGTCCTTGAAAAAGACGCAGAGCGGCAGGTCGCAAGAACCGAGCGGTGGGAGCAGACGAAGCCCTGAACTTGGACCAGGAGCCCCTCATCTCCACGCCATTTTTCTGAATTCAATTAAAACTGACTCACAAAAAAAATAATAAAAAACCCAACCACGATCTTTTTTTTTTCTTATTCCAGGACAAAGGAAGGGAATTCTGGGATGGGGCCCCCTCTTCCCGAGTGTTCTCTGTTTGGGCCACCTCTGCTCTGCAAACGGACCCACCTGCTCTCACCCACACTTTGAAACGAGTGATTGTCAGTTTGTGAATCCAGCCTCCAGGAGAAACAACTTTTGATGACTTTCGCTTGGAGGAGAAGAGAATGTGGCGCAGATGCTGTACACGGTCCGGCGGGCCCGCCCACTGCCGGTTCCCAGGACACCTGTCGGGCCAAACTCCCCTCCCAAAGCCAAACTCGGCTCCCACAGCTGCTCCGCTCCTTCCCCATCCCCGTTCTCCTTTGCCTCCTGCCATCACCCCCTTCCCCTCGCGCCCACGGCCAACGGCCGGTGAATCCTGCGGACGCAGGCGCGTGGGGGCGGCTCGTGCAATCGCCCCTTCCCCACCCACCCCCTCTGGCTGGGACAGTGGGACCAGCCTGTCCCCTTACTAACACGCTGCCCTGAGCCTCTGGGGCCCGGCCTCTCCTGGGCGTCCACGCCCCAGCGGGCTCCAGTTCCCTGTGCCAGTCACTTCTTACACCGCTTCCCTGGCCCTCACGGGGACTGCCAGGTGAGTCCCCTTGTTCTGGCTTTCTCTGGAGTGCCACCCTCCTCCATAGCTGTCCCCTCTGAGAGGAACTGCACTGGCCACCCCGTCCTAAACAGCGGCTGGCCCCCCTGGCCACCATGGGGAGCACACGGCTCCCCTCCCTGTTGATTCTCCATCACACTCATGGCCATCTGTGACGGTCCCCAGGCCTGCCCACGGGACCCCAGCAGGCTACGGAGCGTCACGGGCTCAGCCTGGCTCTCGGCACACACAGGACTGAGCAGGATTCACAGGAATCCCTCTTAGGGTTCTCAAAATTCCAAATGCTGAGAAACTTCATTGTTTCCTTATCATTCTCTTTAACTCCTAATATGACTGAGGTTCTGTGGCTTACGGGGATCCTGTTTTCACTAATGGTCAGCCCTAGGTCAGACGTCACTTCCGGGCTGGGAAAGTGGCGCCAAGGGCCCGAGCACATGCTGAGTGCGCAGGAGGCCTGGGTTCGAGTCCTGGCACTGCACAGCTCCCTGCGGAACCGTGGGGAGCAGGTCACGGGCACCTCAGCCCATGGCGTGAGGCTCCAAACCCAAATTCAAACACACCAGCTGCTCGATGGACCTTGGGGAATACAAGGCCTCTTTTTCCTTCCTTTTTCCATAAAACAGTCAACTATGATCACTAGAACAATCTATTTTTTGCAAAACAACAATCTAAATATTTATTTTCATCAATCATAAATTCATAAATTAAACAGGGTGACTTTTGTACCCTAAAATATCTCCAGGTTTTTTTAAGTACAATTCAGCCTTGTCATCACCTTAACTAGACCGACTCGTGAAAGGTGCAGTGAGGCGCCCTGGTCTGCAGCGAGGCGCTGGGTATCACGCTCTCACCCTTGCTGGGGAGGGAAGTCGGAGTACCAGGTATGAAGGTACCACGGACAGATCTGAACGTCCCCTCCGTGAAACTGGGTTACCATCTAGCTTTGTTCGTCGAGTGCCACTCGGATGCTCTGACTCTCAAGGACAGGCTCTCCTGGCGTCAGGGAGGGGTCCGAGCCACAGGCCCTGAGCAGACGCTGCTGAGGAAGTGCGCTGCGTGTGGGGCCTCCCTCACGCCCCCCCAGAGCCCTCCCGGCAGGCGAGGGCGACTTGTTGCACCAGCTGCGCTGCCACCCGGGCCCGCTCACACGGGGGCCCCCGGAAGCTCAAGCCGCAACTCCGCCCGCAGTGAGGCCCGCTCCCGCGGACGTGCCCTCTGGGACTGTGCCTCGCCCACGGCCGGCTCCGTGCAAAGACCCCGCGGCACCCGCTGAGAAGCTCACTCGTGAGCAAGGAAAGGAGGGAAAGCTCACTGTCTTCTTTTTGGTTTCCAAGCTCTGTTCTGTGCGAATGTGACACAGCCACTAGACAACCACTAGAGTCGACGACCGAGGAATTGCTGCGGATCACGCTGCCTGTTTTTTACAAAAAAGGGGGAAAGGAAGGGCATCAGCTGCCTCGGGTGCCCGCCCGGAATCGCCCGACCACGCCCCAGTGAAGGGGCCGGGGTCAGGAGCACGAGAGTGCGGGGCCTTGTGGGCCGACTGGGTCACTGCATCGCCTCGCCAGCGACTGCGGCCCTGACCCTGCCAGTCAGCCTGCAGCGTGTCTGCAAGCCAGCGCCGGAGCACGGCCCCGTGGGTTCCTGAGCAGAGTCAGCGCTGCACACACGGGAAGTCCCGATAAGGGCGACAAAAGCTCAACAAGTAACTCGCCTGCACCTGGCAGAAAACAAGGCCCTTGTGCAACGTAAGGGCCGTCTGGTCTCCTGACAGGACAGGAGAGCGGGCGGGCGAGGGACCCCACTCGGAACCCCTCTTTCGGGGAGGCTCAGAACTGGCCGACAGCGTTTCCTTCTGGGGGCTGAGCAGAAACTGCTTCCATCGTGTTGTTTCGGGTGGAACGAAAGGTCACGAAACACAGGGCTTTACCAAGAAATGCTAGTCAACGGCGGGCAGAGCATCTGCTCTGAGTGTAGCCAACCGCACCTCAATCCCCACGCGGCCCCCAGACACCGTCGGGAACGATACTGAGCACAGAGCGGGGAGGAAGCTCTGAGTGCCGCCGGTGTGGCCAAAAAGACCAAACAAACAACAAACAAACGAAAGATCAACGACCCCCTGCCCTTGCCTGAGAGATGATACAGAAATAACCGTTTCAACTGATGATACACAAATAACTCGGCTTTTTTCTTTTGACTTCAGAATTAGTTGTCGGTCAGAGAGGAGCGATGGCCCAGCCACCACATGGTCAGCCCGACTCTGCCCCCTCCTGCAGCACAGACGCCGGCAGCGAGCTCTCTGACGATCCCCCCGTGTCCTCCTGCTCGGCCAGTGAAGCCAGGACCCGACGTGAATCCTCCTCCACCTGTGACAGCTCCGGGGGGAGCCCTGGGCCTGCCGGGCCTGGGCCCTCTGTGGCTGTGACCGGGGCCCCAGCGAGGCGTGCAAGCAACAGAGGGGGCCGGAGCGGCCGGAGCAGCTACCCAGGACCGCCCGGCACCGCCTCCCCCCCAGACCGAGGCTCACGAAAGCCACAGACGCAGAAGCCCTGCCAAGTGCAGGTGTGGGCCCCCGACGTCTCGCCAACACAGGAAGGGGGGAGAGAAAAGACGGTGGGCTGTGTACGTTTCAAAAATCACGTTCATACCACATTGCTCACAAAGCAGAAAAATAAGTAGCTATTGGTGCCACTTTGTTGAAACGCGCACACACACACACACACACACACACACACACACACACACACACACAGAGTGCTGCATTCAGGGGACCACGCATGCTGGCTCACAGAACGTACACAGCGACAGCTTCCACGTGGCCGGGTCACAGCGGCCGTAAAGCGCTCGCTCAGCCTGACGGGACACGGCCTCCAAAGCGCCCACCCCGCGCGTGGCCGGACGCAGGCCCCGCTGGCCACTCCGCGACCGGCACCCCCCAGGCCGCTCCTTACCCCAGTCCGTTCCGTCGCCGGCGCTCCTGGACTCCCCGTCCCCTTCCTCGGGCGCCACCAGGAAGTCAAACTCCTTCAGGGCTTCCTTGGTATCCCGGTCTTCGTTGCTCTCGGACGACACCTTTTTCCTGACCATCTAAGGAGACAAGGCGCGGCATGAGGACACCCGGGTCGGCCAGAGGGTCAGGTCAGACGGGACGGCAGGCCCCGCCACCACGCGAACAGCCACGAGTCGGGGCCGGAGCGGCAGCACAGAGGAAGGGCGTCTGCCTTGCACGCGGCCGACCCGGGTTCGATGCCCGGCATCCCACAGGGTCCCCCAAGCACGGCCAGGACGCGATTCCCGAGTGCAGAGCCAGGACGAACCCCTGAGCATCGCCGGGTGGGACCCGAAAAGCAACTGAAAAAGGAAAAAGAGAAGCCACTGGTCAGCGTCCCACCTACCCAACCCAGGAGCCAGTGAGAGACCGTTTCCGGGAGCTTTGCAGCGTGCAGCCCGAGTCCATGCGACTCTCCCAGTGCTGGGCTGTAGCACTGACCGCCCAGGCCCCCCCACGTGAGGACGCATCCCTGGCCCTGAAACTGACTGCAATGAACGGGGCCGGAGGTGTTGCTCCAGCATGCAGTGCTCGCCTCGCAGGTGTGAGGTCCTGGGTCCAACCCCCGGGACTGCAGCCAATACACCGACAGAACCACGGGCTGCGAGCACTGACGACTCAGGCAGGCCAACCACAATTCACGACAGAGCAAGGGAAAGCGTCCTGACACACATCAGGGGAAACCCGTTTCTGGGCCGCAGTCTCTGCAGATAGCCGGACCTACCCCTGAGGAGAAACTCTTCAGTCGTGATGCGAAAAATGATTTCTAACTGTTCAACATTACCTCCTCACAAAACTTACGATCACAAGAGCCGCAGACTCAGAAAACCCCGACTCAAGCTTCACAAGGCACTCGTGGGAGGAGGGAGGAGGGAAAGAAGGAAAAGGGAGGGAGGGAGGGAGGGAGGGAGGGAGGGAGGGAGGGAAAACATGAACAAGGAGGGCCGGAGAGAGAGCTCAATGGGCAGCGCACTGGGCTTTGCAAGCGGGAGGTGCCGGTTCCATCCCCGGCACCTGACAGTCCCCAGAGCACCACCAGGAGGGACCCCAAGGCAAAGCAAAAAAAAAATGTAAGAGAGGAAATGCGGACAACTTCCAAGGGAGGAGGGGAACCCAAGTGTGGCCTCATCTTTTCCTTCAAAAGGGGTGAAGAGAAGAGGCAGAGGGGGCGGTCAGGAGAAGAGGGCTGACCGGGGAGGGGAGAGGCCCGAGGGGAGAGGAAGCGGTTCTCAGGCAACCTCCCCGGGGAGGCGCTTCCGCCTGTGAGACCCTGAACAACACGGACCCTCCCGGAAGGGCACACGCAGCTGTTGGAGCACGTCTGCCGAGCGGCCCCAGGACCAGAGCGGCCGGCTCCCACGTGGGTCTATGAGCCCGGGGCCTCGGCAACCGGACCCGCAGGGTCCCACACACACACTCCCCGGACCCACCAGCCCCCCGGAAACGCAGGAGGGGGCGGGAGCTAACAGAAGGCCAACCTCCCGCTCCATGTAAAACACTCGGATTTAAAAGCCACGCTGGAAACTCACGGAGACGCCGGGCCCGGCCCCGAGGCAGAGTCAAGGGCCGAGATCGAGGTGGGGCAGGAGCCCGCCCGAGCCCCCCGCCCCGCTCACCGTGGACGTGTCCACGATGCTCTTCTCCCTCCCATCAACGTCGTCGTCCTCATCTTCGTCACTCAGCTCTGCGGCGCTATCGAGGAACTTGAAATTATCCAGCACGGAGGCAGAGTCTGTCAGCTCGGATTTTCTGCTCGAGACAAAGACATCTTGTTAGCTGGTTCCTCGCTCGGGGTCGAGAGTTAGTTCGTGACAGGCGGCGATGACTTCGCTCAGATCGCAACTATGATCCCCCAACTAATGCCATGATCTGCACTGATTCGTCTCCCAGACAGTAAACTCCCAGACATTTAATTCGACAAGCAAATATCGGAAGTAATTACTCTTTTGAAAAGATGTTGCGATCGTATCAGATTAATGATAATCCTCCATAGAGAACTGCTCCCAATTCCTATCGATCTGATTCTTTATTTACTTATTTATTTATTTTTGCTTTTTGGGTCACACCTGGCGATGCACAGGGGTTACTCCTGGCTCTGCACTCAGGAATTACTCCTGGCAGTGCTCAGGGGACCATATGGGGATGCTGGGAATCGAACCCAGGTCAGCCGCGTGCAAGGCAAACGCCCTTCCCGCTGTGCTATCTCTCCAGCCCCTTGATCGTATTCTTAAATCAACCTTAACGTATTTATTTTTACATCAGTGTTTTATTTTATTTTACATCAGTGTAAAATAAACTAAATAAAATATTTTATTTTACAAATAAAAATAAACTAAATAAAATATTTTATTTTACATCAGTGTTTTATTTTATTTTACATCAGTGTTTACTAAAAGTGTTTTACATCAGTGTTTACTGGGGGCTGGAGCGATAGCACAGCGGTAGGGCGTTCGCCTTACAAGCGGCCAACATGGCCGACCCGAGTTCGATTCCTCCGCCCCTCTCGGAGAGCCCGGCAAGCTACCGAGAGTATTCGGTATGCCAGACACAGTAACAACAAAGTCTCCAATGGAGACGTTACTGGGCCCGCTCGAGCAAATCGACGATCAACGGGAGGGCCTTTACCTTACCTTACCTTATCAGTGTTTACTATTTCTGCCTCCACTTTCCTCTATCCTTCTCAACAACTCTTCTTCTGATACGTTTTGACAACTAAGAAAATAACTAGTGAATAAGTTCTTTTCCCCAACACAATCTCTTGCTGGCCCCTGAGCACCCCTGGGCATGGCCCCAACACCCCACCAGCAAAGAACAAAGTGAACTCAGTGCGTCAGTCACTGCAAACAATCCACTGCCTGAGCCAATACTACGGAAGCTCGTTGGGTCCTTCCCAGGGAGGAGACTGCCCGCAGCGCCGGGTATCACCAGGCACTCTGGCGGCCCGTTGCTGACTAAACCAGCCGCCTCTTGGAAGTCACTGAGTGTCAAACACCTGACCCGGCTTCAGTCCCGTCAAAACACGCAGCAAACCATCCCCGAGTGGCCAGAGAACAGCGGACGGCCCCGGGTGCGAGCCCCAGCTGTGTGGCCCTGGTGGTCCCCAGCAGGGGGGGAGACCCCCGGGCAAACCGAAGGATTTATTAGTTCACCGGGGGATGTTCAAGATAAGATTATACTTGTACTGTAAGATACTCGAGAGAAGACACTTGCCTAAAACACTCAGCCACAAGGCCACAAGTACAGAGAATATCTCTAAGCTGGTAAATCTCAAATTTCCCATCCGCTGAGAGCGAGTTCTGCCCCCCCCCCCCCCCGCACCCCCCACCTCATCCTGTTCTCTAGTCCTGCATAAATCAGACACTCAGAAGAACGCCTTGTCAGTAAACCGCGCCGAAGGCCCAGGAGACAGCTCCGGGCGGGCGCCCTGGGCCTGCACGTGGCCCGACCTGACCCCCAGCACCAAGAGCTCCCCGGGCACCACCACTGGCAGCCCCTGAGCCAGCCGGGGTCAGCGACCAGAGTAGACCCAGAGTCATGGCCCCACAGAACCCAGAGCCTGTCTGCACAGAAGCTGTCCACATCACATTTACAAGAACAAGCTAACGTTTTCTTTACTAATTATGACATCTAGGAAGGCTCTGGTCACTTTTGTTCCTGAAAGTTGTGAAAAGCTTTTGAGCTTTTCCCTAGACTTTCAAGAATTTTCTTTTCCAAACGACAGAACCTACATTCTCATTAGAAAATCTGCAGAAAGTTCCATGACAGCCTATCTTCAATCCAAGCCATGAATTAAAAGAAAGTAACAACGAGTGTAGACGCTCACTAAGCTTTGGCTTTTTATTCCAGAATCGCATCAACTGTTGCAGTTTACTCTGAGCAGGCAGGACTCCTTATCACTGCATGACACAAGATAAAACACATGGAACTTCAGCTACGTGGACTTTTGACTTTTCCTGTCAGTTTAAAAAGATGTGCTTCGAAAGTATTTTTTCCAAAAGAAATATTATGGGTAAGAGAAAGCTTTCTCCTGGAGAATCTGATGTACGTGACTCCTAGATCCTGAGGAATGGGATTTCATTCCTTCTGAGTCGAGCTGAACTTCCCGGTCGCATCTCTGACGATTCTACAACAAGTGGCAGTCGCACCAGGCAGGCTCCTGAGGCCTTCCCACTTCCAGCGACCCCGCTGCCGTGGGGTCCCTTCCCTGCCTGCGCGCCCACATCCTCTTCCTAAGTCTCAAATGGATTAAAAAAAGAAAGGAAAAACCCCTCTAAATAGAAAGCCTTAACGTCAGAGACGACACAGTTCTACCCCCACCTGCCCCTGCTGACAGAGTGAAACTTTCCGGTTTTCTGTTCAACTTTATTCCGACGCCACGCAGTGAGCTGTTCCCGCACACGTGGCAGGAGTGTTGCTCCCGGCGGGACAGGGGCTGGGACGGGGCACTCACCCGATCATCGCCGCCTCCTTCGCGTCGGCCTCGGTGCCGTTCAGGACCGAGTCTGGGTTCTTGTCCTCGTCGCGGTCAGTGGCGTCGCTCGCGAAGCCCAGCAGGGCGCGCACGCGCTTGGACTTGACGTCCAGGATGGTGTCCGTGTAGCCCACCTCCTGCAGGTACCTGGGCGGGCGGGAGGGGGGCTCCGGGTCAGCGGCGGGGGCCGCGCGGGCCGCCACGAGGCAGAAGGCGAGGGGGGCATGGAACGCCCGGGGCCCGGGAGGCCTCGCAGCGGGCACCGCGCTCGCCCGCTGCCCCCGCTAATAAAGACGCCACCAGCTGCAGACGGGGCCGTCGCTGGCGGTACCAGCCTCGAGGGGCACAGAGAAATCAAAGATCCCCACAATGCCCCATTCATCGGGCTGGTCTGCCCGCACCTCGGCAGGGCCGGGCAGGGCCGCCCCTCGGGGGAGCACTGTTGCCAACAGCCCCTTGGCCTGTTTTGATGTGTCCTTGGAGCAACTGTCTGAGATCCAGAAAGAATGTCTGGATTGTTTCTTAATCACACAGAAGGAGTTAGTGTGTTTCAAACGGTCCCTCCTGGAGAAGGGAGGCAGCAGTCCCTGGACTAGCTAAGAGGAAAAAATCTGCAATTCTACCCAGACCTCCTGGGTGGAGACAAGGGAAAGAGGTAGCTTTTCTTTGGTTTTTGTTTTTTTTTTAATAGTTTTTGGGGGTCACACCTGGCTGAGCTCAGGGGTTACTCCTGGCTCTGCACTCAGGGGTCCGTCCTGGCAGGCCGAGAGGACCATAGGGGATGCTGGGTTTGACCCAGGCCAGCTGCCTGCTCTATGGTGTCTTGGCGTGTCCTGCCAAGCCCTGCTGCGTGACCACGCCCCCTGCCCTCGACTCTCTCCGGACTCTCTCGGGAGCACTGTTGTTTGGGGAAGGCAGGCGAGCGGGCACTCAAACTCTCGCGTCTGAAGACCAGTTTCAATGGTTTCCTGCCAGGGCCAGTGACTGGGCAGCTCACACTCGCCACAGGCCCTGCTCCCTTCAGTCTCCAGCACGCGTCTCCTCGGAGAGTGGATCAGGGCTCAAGCTACACGTCTGAGAAACTCAGGAAGCCCTTGATGCGTCCAGAGGTTTGAAAAATACAATAGCAGGGGCCAGAGCGGCGGCACAGCGGGCAGAGTGTCTGCCTTGCACGCGGCTGACCCGGGTTCCATCCCCGGCGTCCTATAAGGTGCCCCCAGCACCGCCAGGAGTAAGTCCCGAGTGCAGAGCCAGGAGTGACCCCTGATCACCGCCCCCAAAAGAAAACTACACGTGACTATGGATTAAACACATATGTCCGAGTACAGAAAGAGCCACGATACGGGCATAGAATTCTTTTACCTATGAAAGAGTTGAAAAGAATTCTACTCTTTTTACTCTAAATGTAAGGCGAAGTAATAAAACTGAGAAGTCTCCGTGTACAACCCCCTGGTGATGCAGAAACTACGAAGAGAATGTTTTCTCGATGCTTCTCATTGATATTTCTGAAAAAAACATTCCCCACAGGGGAAAACATTTCTGCGTCCCAACACAGAGGAGCGCCCCGGCCGACGGTCTCCATGGGGGCGGGTGGGCTCCTCCCGCAGGCGGGGTACGTACTGTCGCAGCAGCTGCCGGCCTTGCTTCCACATCACCTGGCTGTTCTGCGGCGGCTGGGCCTCGGTCTCGTTGCCCTCGTCTGGAACACACAAGAGCAGAGCGGGGCTGACACCAGCGACGCAGCCCGGGACAACGCGGACGCACGGGGCAGGCTCCACCGGGTCCGGGCACGGGCGTGTCCGAAGTCAGGGGCCGGGTCTCCTCCCGCCTCGCGGGAGACCCCCCCGCCACAGCGGGCGGTCACACGGGGAGAGGACAAGAGGCGCGGGATGGCGCGGACTCCCCAGGAAGGGAACTACCGCAGCCACAACTGCACCGCCAGACCAGCTACGGGCTGAGCGCCCGCCTCCGAGTCGTGTGTCTTGTTTTGTTTTGGGGGCCACACCTGGCCGCGCTCGGGGCTGGTCCCTAGCTGTGCTCCCCACTGTTCTCTCTCTCTCTCGGCCCTCACCAAGTCCTCTCGTTTCAGACGTTCCGTAAGGAAACCCAGACCTTTCCCAGTCAGCCTGGGCTGAAGCCTTTCAAGGCTGTCGCCGGAAATGAACCGTCGGGGTCCAGAGGCCAGCGCACAAGGGCTGGGGTCCCGCACTGCCGTGGCCACCCTCGAGGCCCTGCTGGGCCAGCCAGGGTGTCCCCCCACCCTGCCGGTGGAAGCAGCACGGTGGCCCCCGCTGAGCACCCCACAGGAAGTAGCCCCCCAAAACGAATGAGAATTAAATGACGCCGTCTCTACAAGAAGTCTGGAGTCACGATACTAAGAGGATCGACGTTCCTCAAAGTCCAGACTTCGCCGAGGGCGGAGGGCGGCTGCGCCACTCACCCTGGGCCCGCCTCTGGCTCTGCACAGGGTGCCCCTGCCTGCCAGGAGTGACCCCCGAGATAGGCAGAACGCGCCGAGCTGTGTCCAAAAAGCAGGAGGAGGAAGGAGGGGAGGGCGGAACTGAGTTTTACAGGATTCAGGCCACTGGAACACTTTGGGGGTTAGGGGGTTCTGTGCTTGTTTTCAGGTTTCTGTTTGGGGTCACACCCGGCAGTGCTCAGGGGTCACTCCTGGCTCGGCTCTCAGGAATTCCTCCTGGCGGTGCTCAGGGGACCATATAGGATGCCGGGGGTCGAACCTGAGTCAGCCGCGTGCAAGGTGAGCGTCCTGACCGCCGTGCTGTCGCTCCGGCTCCGGGAAATGTTTCTAGGTTACATGACTGTGACGCAGACGCTGTGGGTTTTGTTTGTTTTCGTTTTTGGTTTTTTTTTAGCTTCTAATCTGCCACGTTTACTTTTATCAGATACTGTGGACTGAGCAAAAGCATCATCGGCACTGCCTATTCTCAACGCTGACATGCGGGAGACAGTTTGGTTCGGGGCCTCTCCAGCTGTGCTCAGGGAAGCCCATGAGTCAAACCTGGGACCGCCACGTGCAAGGAAGGCACCCTGCCCACAGCACTCTCTCCAGCCCTAATTATGTGAATTTTAAAGAAATCTGAACACCCTTTACGAGTTGGGCAATCCCGTGGCGATGAGGGCTGCACCCATTTCAGGCTTCCATTTCCGTCGGCCGAAGACCCGGCTCAGAAATGTGGCTGCGTCGCTTGCAAAGGAAGGGGCCAGCGTCACTGCTCGTGGGTCTCAGCAGGCAACACGCCGCGTCAGACACACTCGTCACCTCCTAGGCCCTCGTGACTCCGAGGACGTGGGCATCACGACCACCCCCCTTGGACTAAGCTCTCGGTTAGCCTCACGGTTTCTGAATCCACATCGGAAGCAAAGCGGTTCCCCGCGAGGTGCCCTGTCTGGTGACCAGGAGACCAGCCGGGGGGACGCTGGCAGTGCCGGGACCGACCTTGGGGCCTCGTGCCTGCCAGTCCGAGCCCCCGGCTGACGGGTCTTTCCTCAGAGTTTATGTCTTCCCAGCGGCACACGAGTGAGAACTACAGGAATGTGACCCAAAACAAAATCACAACTTGAACTTTTATTTTTCTCCTAAATTTACCAAATAACAATAGAGAGACTGGGGGTGTGTGTGTGTGTGTGTGTGTGTGTGTGTGTGTGTGTGTGTGACTTTAATCATCCATTCGAAAGAGATGATTATTTCAAGAACTCCTAAAGAGGCTGCACCATTTTTGTTTTGTTTTTAATTTTTTTGAAACACCTTTTCTTTCAAAGGCAAAAAAAGTGCCAAAATTGCAAGAAAGGAAAAAAACACACAGCCACCTTGTTTCCACGCACCCCCACTCTCAACGTAGTGTGGAACGATGCTGCCCTGTATGGCTCATGGGCCCTTTTGTTTTTCTTTTTGGGTCCCACCCGGCGATGCTCAGGGGCTTCCCCTGGTTCTGCACTACTCAGGAGTCACTCCTGGCGGTGCTCGGGGGGCCCTATGGGATGCTGGGAATCGACCCGGGTTGGCCGCGTGCAGGGCAAACGCCCTCCCCGCTGTGCTGTCTCTCCAGCCCCTCATGGGGCCCTTTAAGACAAGCGGGGAACCTGCACACGCAAGAGAACGTCTACGCTGCACTTCAAAAGAGTCAAGACTCCGGATACAAAAGGGCGTGAGTCATCTAATTCCCCATCAGAACAGGCCTCCGTCCTGTCAGGCCCCTCAGAGCTGCCCACTGCCTCTGCCCGCCGGCAGCCAAGTGCCACAGCTCCTCCACCGACGGAAGGCGGGCGATGGGAGGAGTGGCCACTGGTGGGCAGCAGAGCTGCAGGGCTGGGCAAGACAGCTGGGCGGGTGGGAGCACCTGGGCGAGCGGGAGCACTGGGCGAGGGGGCTGGGCGGGTTAGGGTGGCAGGAGGGGGCACAAGCCCTGCAGGCCCGGGCTGACCTCCGCCCTGCCCAGAGTGACTCCTGGACACGGGCCTTCGGAGGCCAGAGGCCGGGGAAGGCAAGGGAGGAAGAGGGAGGAGGGCGTGCAGGGCCGGCAGGGCTCCGTTCTCCGGACTTCGTATGTTTCTTTGGGGGGGAGCAGTTGGGGGTCACACCCAGAGGCGTTCATGCGCCACTCCCGGCTCTGCGCTCAGGAACTGCTCCTAGCAGTGCTCGGGGTCCGTGTGGGCGGCCCGGGATGGAGCCTGGATGGCCGCGTGCTAAGGTCCGGCCCTGGCTCGCTGTCTGAGGGGGGAAGGGACGAGAGAACAGCTCCCACCGCACCCGACACCCCACGGCGTGGGGCTGTGGAACCCTGGAAGGTCCCTTGTGTCCGTAAGAACAGAGAGACCCAGGCGCCAACCGAGGAGAATGCACCCCTCCTAAAAAAATTAAAAAGAAAAAACGACAGGCATATGCTCTAGTAAGATAAAACCTGACAGAGGGGAACGCTGCGGCCAGCGGGTCAACCTGTCCCTGCGGCGGAGAGCATCAGCAACCTGATGGCGCCTTCGGGCTTCCTGACACCCCAAAACTGCTGCTGTGCCTTTGGTTGGACCCCAACAACTTGGGGCCAAGCTTACCAAGAAATTAAACAACCCGGGGTCTGGAGCGATAGCACAGAGGGTTGGGCGTTTGCCCTACACGTGGCCGACCCAGGTTCGATTCCCACCATCCCATAGGGTCCCCCGAGCACCGCCAGGAGGAATTCCTGAGTGCAGAGCCAGGAGGAACCCCTGAGCATCGCTGGGTGTGACCCAAAAAGCAAAAAAAAGAAATAAACGACCCAAGCTAGGACTGTGGGAGGCACACCCACAAACCACCTCCGGCTCACTATACAAGCTCATTTATTGGCCTTATTTCAGGGACCCATAAAGGATGAAAGAAATCAAAAGCCACAGTTCGGGCTGGTGCAGGGGCGGTGTGCTTCGGGTGAGCGGGCACGCCCTGCAGGACACATGCCAGTCGTTTCTGTCTCTGAAAAAGATGGAAACAAGGGCCCTGATCCAGAGACACACAAAAGACGTACAGGTGCAGTGATGGCGAATTCCAGGATAGGGGATGGGCCGGTCCCTCTCATCCCTGGTCCCCGTGGGACCCTGAAGGTCACGCCCACAAACTGCCTCGGCTGTTACTTAAGTTCCTTACTGGCCGTGATCCAGAGACACACCAAAGAATCTCTGAACCAAGCAACTCACTGCAGAGATTTCTCCAGACCCTAATGATCTAAAAATTTAGAATTTCAGGGGCTGGAGCAATAGCACAGCGGGAAGGGCGTTTGCCTTGCACACGGCCGACCGGAGTTCGATTCCCAGCATCCCATAGGGTCCCCTGAGCACCGCCAGGAGTGATTCCTGAGTGCAGAGCCAAGAGTAAGCCCTGAGCATCGCCGGGTGTGACCCAAAAAGCAAAAAAAAAAAAAAAAAAGAAAAAATTAGAATTTCAGGAGCAAGCAGCCACTTACAGCCACATGGCGTCTTAAGCTATTCATAACAAGCAAAAGAGAGTAAGGGGGAGACTGTCTGCCAGAGAGGCAGGGAGAGGGATGGGATTGGGGGGGGGGAGGACTGGGGACCTTGGTAGTGGAAGATGTGCACTGGTGGAGGGTTGGGTGATTGATCATTGTATGACTGAAACTCCAAAGGAAAGCTTTGTAACAGTATCTCACGGTGATTCAAAAAAGAACAAAAAATAAAATTAACATTCTGTATAAAAAAATAGTAATGTGGAGTTCATGCCCAATTCAATCAGTTTGATCAATGGCTGAATAAATAGCAGTGCTCCTGCATTCAAAAAAAAAAGATGAAAACCTGACCAGCTGGATCATACCTGACGTTCTCCTCTTTTAACGAGCGGCATGGGAGAGGCCCCGGTCCGATCCCGGGCACAGCCCTGCCGGGAGCGCCCCTCCCACACTGACCTCCAGGAGCCCCTGGGACACTGTCAGGTGTGGCACGACCCACGCCCCCGAGGAAAGCAGGTTGTCGAGGCCTCGGCACACAGTCACTTCCTCTCCCACTCGCCCAGAGGCCACACGGGCGTTCCGGGGATGGTGTCACCCACGCCTGGGCTCAGAGCGGGGAGCAGGGAGGGCTGACGACTCGCTCGCTCCCAACGATGAACAGTCGGGCGTGGGGCCCGCTCGCAACAGCTACAGGCAAAGCAGACCAACGGGGCCTCGAACCCTGGGCCCTGGAGAAGCCGCAGCCAAGGGAGCCGAGGAGCACTCAGCCAGGGGAGCCCAGGAGCACTCAGCCAGGGGAGCCCCAGGGCACCCAGCCAGGCGCCCCCGGAGGCTGGTCACAGGGAGAGCAGAAACAGCCTGATGAAAGGAAGTAAGTTCCCAGAGTACAGTTTCACGCAAACTGTAACTCCACGGTGGGGGGGGGGGGGAGTCTTAAAACTAGGCCTACATGGGGCTGGAGCGATAGCACAGCGGACAGGGTGTTTGCCTTGCATGCAGCCGACCCGGGTTCGATTCCCAGCATCCCATATGGTCCCCCGAAACTGGCAGGGATAATTCCTGAGTGCATGAGCCAGGAATAACCCCTGTGCATTGCCAGGTGTGACCCCCCCCCAAAAAAAAAACCAAAAAAAAAAAACAGGCCAACGGAGGCTGGGGAGCAAATCCAGCGGGGAGGGGGCTGGCCGAGCACGTGGCAGACCCAGGCTCGATCTCCGGCATCCCACAGGGTCCCCGAGCACCATCAGGAGTCATTCCTGAGTGCAGACCCTGAACATCACCAGGTGTGGCCAAGGTAAAAGTAAAATGGGGGGGGCACTTGCCTTGCCCGCGGCTGACCCGGGTTCAACGCCCAACCTACGTAAGGGTCCCCGAGACTGCCAGGGGTGATCCCTGAGCACAGAGCCAGGAGTGAGCCTCGAGCACTGCTGGGTGTGACCCCAAAGCAAGGAAACTAAGAGAAAGGAAAAAGTCTTCGAAGTAGCCAGGAGAAAAGGTTCCTCCCCCCCCACATGCCGTGCTGCAGAGACCAGGATCACGAACACACCCGAGACTCAGCAGGAGGGTGTCAGCGGGAGAGAGGCCCGCGGCCCCTGAGCATCCAGAGGGGACCTGGCCACTCCGAAGCAGGAGAGGACCCAAGAATGATTGCCCGGGGACCGAAGAGCCAAGCCATGGGCTCGAAGACCACACACAAGCAGGGAAGTCCGAGTCAGTTCAAAAACGCATCGCGTGCGGGGGCTGGAGCTGCAGTCCAGCGGGGAGGGCGTGTGCCCCGCACGCAGCCGACCAGGGTTCGATCCCCGGCATCCCATGTGTCCCCCGGGACACTGCCAGGAGTAATTCCTGAGTGCAGAGCCGGGCATAAGTCCTGAGCCAGGTGTGATCCCAAAACAAAAATAGACAAGCAAATACAAAATTAAACAAAAATATATAAAGTATGAATCCTAACCCTAATTACAGATGATAAATCTACAAATAAGATAAAATACCTCATTGAAAACAAAAACCCAGAGGAATCCAAACAAAAAGGGGTTGGGGGAATGAAAAAAAAACTGGACAGAAACCTAAACAGGCAAGTTTCAAGCCGAACCACCTGACTCTGCCCAGCACCAACGGTCTGTCGGTCTGTCGGTCTGTTCTGGCTCCGGATAGAGACACATCAGCTCTGGGCCAGAGTGACAGCCCAGCACGTGGCCAACCCGGATCCAATCCCCGGAATCCCAAAGGTCAGCGTCTGCTGGAGACACCCCTGAGAGCAGAGCCAGGAGTGACCCCTGAGCACAGCCAGGTGTGGCCCCCAACAAACCAGCGGAAACAGATATTCCAGCTGTGGCCTGCGTCTGGCTTCTCCCAGTGAATGGGAGACTGCATGGCCCCGAGCATCCTGTCCCCATGTCCCCACCGTGGTCTTGGTGCCACCAAAGCACAGGCTCCAGAGTTGCCCTGACCACCCCCCGGCAAAGGGGACGTCGAGGGGGCAGGCCCACGGGCCCACGAGAAGTGTCAGGACTGGCCAGGCGTGGCTCGGGGCTGGCTCGGGGATCACACAGGGGCTCTGGGTTCCGTCCCAGCACCACACAAACAGCCCGGTGGGACGGAGGAAACAGGGTGCCCGTGGCCCGTCCACCCACGCCCGCCCAGTCCCGGTCCGGCCATGACCCCTGGGGCCGCCACACGCAGGCCCCGCCCCTGGGAACAGGCGGGCACGTCCGTCCTTGGGAAAACCCCCAGCCCACTTTGGGGCACCACATCCGGGTCCCTCGTCCCCACACTCGGGCTTCCCTGCTCGCCCCGAGCCGTCGCCCCCTGCCCGCCCTGGCTCTAGTCTAGAGCAGCCCCGGGCCCACCCTCCGGTCCGTGTCCTCAGACTGTCAAGGACGGGCGTCGTATGTACAGACGCGTCATCAGGAACCTCACCGGGCACGTGGCCCCTCTGGATCTGTGCATCCGTCTGTCCCAGGGAGGCTGTCCAGACCTCGCCGCTGTCCACAGCTCCAAGGCTGCCCGAGGCTGGGGGTCTCGCACTTGCTCTCCATGTCTCTGTCCCTCGCCCCGCCCCGCCACCCGGCGTGTCTGGAACCCCTCCGCTTCCTTCTCCCGGTGCCCACCCCCCACCCCGCGACAGGCCTCTGTCCCCGCGAGGCGCTCTCCGCTCTGCCGATGGCAGGAGGGGTGCTCCTGTTCATCCACCAGCTCGGAGCTGCCCGGAACCACACACCCCACTGCCCACTGGCCATTTTCACTTGGACGTCTGAGGACAGCAGCCCGAGGTGAATGCACACACACACACACACACACACACACACACACACACACACACACCCCTTCCGATCCACTTGCAGTCGTGTTCACAAACTAGAGGGGATGGGTGGTCTTCCACGGCCCCTTACCCCCATTCCCCGTGCAAACAAGCAGCCCCACGGTCCCGCTGTTCCTGGGCACCTCGGGGGCCCAGCACACTCGTCCAGGCGGCCTGGGCTTCCGCACTCCTGCCCACTCCTCACCCCTCCGCCGCGGCCGTGAGAGCCAGTCGAGAGCCAGACTCCGCTCGAGCTCCAGGGCCTTCTCGGAACTGTGGGCTACGGCGTGGAGCGCTCAGCACAGCCGAGGGGGAGGGGTCGCGGGGACACCACCCGTTCCCCGGCCGACTGTCCAGCTGCGCCCAGAAACGGGCCCCTCCTCCCTCCCCCGAGAGCGACCACCAGGCCCCCGCCCGCTCGGAGCTGGTGCTGGCTGGCCCGGCACGTGTCGGCACAACCAGGACTCGTGCGGCCGCGAGACATGGCCACTGCCAACCTGTGGGCCCCACTCCTGAGTGACCCCGACTGCCTGCCCCTGGCCCCCGGTCACTCCCTGGGAATCGCTGTTCTCCTTGGCTCCTCCGTAAGGGCACTGCGATTCCCTCACGGAAGCCGGACGTGTGAGCATCACAGGCTGATGTCCGGGTGGGGTGGGGGTACCCGCCAGCGCTCCGACGAGGGCCCAAGCCACTCCCTGGACGTCCCCTGGTCTAGGGGCCAGAACCGGAATGGCTCTGGAGAGACAAGGCACCACCAGGGGGCCCGTTGGGGTGGGCTGGGACTCCAACGAGTCCGTGCCGAAAGTCACCCTCGCTCAGGGGGAGGGTCGGGAACGCCCTGGACAGACACTGGTGCCCTTCCCGGGATACCTGAGACCAGGGGACGAACGGAGACTCTCACAGCTCTCGCTAGTCACTCCTGAGGGGGCCAGAAGGGAGGGGGGCACCGGAGGCAGCAGCCCCCCGGCCCCAACGCTGCTCAAGCGTACGTACCTTCGGGTCCGGAACGGCTCGCACCTGTGAAGGGTCATGTTTCCCGCCAGTGTCCTGCACCCCAAGTTACAAGAAGAGCCCACCAGGTAAAGGGTGAAGGACAGCGAGGAAGCGGGTGACTCTGCGGGGCCCCCGCCTCACCGCCCTCCCCACTCCTCGGAGTTTGGGGGAATCAAAAGAACCCAGCTCCGGTGAACCAACATGCCCAGAAGCCAAGATCCACCGAGATCCTGGCAGACGGGGTCTTTGAGCATGGCGTGACAGTCTCCACAGACAACCGGGCCCAGGAAGCCACGGGTGCCGTCACAGCACGCCCCGACACATGCCAAGGGCTTGGACGGAGTCGGGTTTTGTTGGTTTTCTTTTCTTTTCTTTTTTTTTTTTGGCTTCTCCCCGGTACCTACCAACCGGGGAGTCCATCCTTAACCCCGAGTTGTCCACCAGGACCCTTTTTATAGGCCGTAAAAGGCAGAAGGGGAAAAAGTGCAACCCAGATACTGAATGTTTAGAGCGTCGCTCTGCTCACAGCATCTCCCGTGGGCGAGGAAACCCGAAATGATGATGACTCTGTATGAGAAGTGAAGGGGGGAGGGAGGACGCCCTGGTATTTGAAGGGGCATCTCCTCCAGGGTTTCACTCCACCCGTCAGGCCTTGAGGCAAGACACCCCACACACACCACCACCGCCCGGAGGCAGGGCCGCGCTCGTACCCCAGAAATGCCGGCACAGACTACAGGCAGGAAACGGGAAGCGAGAGGACAGGGGGAGAGGGACGAGGAAGGACCGCGAACAAGGAGAAGCGAGCCAGGAAACAGAAGGATCAGCCGCGAGGCGAGTCAGACAGCGACGTCTGATATGCAAATCATCAGGAACCCACTTGCAGGACAGATACTGCGGCTGCGAAATATTAGACGTTGACTCTTTTTAATGACTTAGGCGTCCTTTAAAATCAGCTTACCAGAATCATAGCTTGGAGGCTTCATATCTCCCTGATTCAATTCTGTCCCATACTTCAACTTGTGGTATTTGGCTCTAACAAAGAAACGAGAAAAGACAAACCATCTTAAAACACATTTCAGTGAACTGTGTCACGGGGGGCAGGGCAGCTGCGGGCGCGCACAACCTCCCACCTCGCCCAGGGCAGGACAAAGCTGCTTCCCTTTATTATCTGCTGCTGCTGCCGCCCAGGGAGGGCCAACCACCCCCCGAAGGAGGAACACGGGGAACTAGAAATCATTCTGTAGTAAGGGACGACTCAGCATTCTCGTTCCCGGAGCCCTGAAAATTTCTCAATGACAGCCGGAATAAAATTCTAATCCCAAAAGCGCTGGAAAGCTTGATGTTTGGTCTTGGCCACTCCCAGCAATGCTCAGGGCTCACTCCTGGCCGGCTGGAAGGACCTACGGGATGCTGGAGACAAAACCGGGTCAGCCGTGTGCAAGGCAAACGCCCTCCCCTCTGCAGTATGGCTCTGGCCCCCTGAAAACTTGAGGTTGTGACATCAACCTGTTTTTAAAAAGGAAAACTCACTTTCCTTAAAAGTGAGATCTTCCTTTAAACAAAAGCCACATGAGTCTACGCAACTCTCCAGGCAACTGTAATTTGCCAAGCAGGAAGGATAATTAACAATCGAGAGCAGGGCAAACCAGACAAAATCACCAATGAGTAAGATACACCAAAAAGAACACACACACACATGCACATACATACATGCGCACATGCAAAAGCACACACAAATTCTTGTAAAGATTCTTTTAGAAGTAAAAAAACTGTTAATCCTGGCTAACCTGATTTAACTACCTGCTACTTACCAATCTGTGACCAGAGAGAGAATCAACAGAAGACAAAAATGTCCATGCAAAATAAGGTAAAAGGTAAAGGCCCTCCTGTTGATCTTCGATTTGCTCGAGCGGGCCCAGTAACATCTCCATTGGAGACTTTGTTGTTACTGTGTTTGGCATATCGAATACGTCACGGGGAGCTTGCCAGGCTCTGCCGGGCTGGCGAGATACTCTCGGTAGCTTGCCGGGCTCTCCGAGAGGGGCGGAGGAATCGAACTCGGGTCGGCCATGTCGGCTGCGTGCAAGGCAAACGCCCTACCCGCTGTGCTATCGCTCTAGCCCATGCAAAATATATTTGTATACTTGGACTTATTTCCAAAATGTCGAGGCTACTTATAACTGTTACTCAACATCAAGGATAGAAGTAGCAATAGTAGCAATAGCAATATGGAAAAATCAAAGCAAAGCAACAGAAGCATGGCAGCCAAACTTTAGTTACTTTTTCGGTTTCTTTTTTGCAGTGCCAGGAATGGAACCCACAATCCCAGTCAATTTTTTTAATATAGAAAAATGAGCACTTTCAATAAGTTTTTATATTAAATATATACATATACATATATACATATATATATATAAAGAAGGGACTGAAGAGATAATACAGAGGGGAGGGCACTTGCCTTGCGCATGTCCAACTGGGATTCGAGCCCAGCACCCACCCTCCAGGAGTGCTCCCTGAACACAGAGCCAGGAGCAAGCCTTAAGCACCGTTGAGTGTGGTTAAAAAAAAAAAGTATAAAGGAAATTAAAATCATTTGGTCCAACGTGGAAAGTGTGTCAGAATTCATTATTATTTTCCAATAATTACAATTATGGCAGAAAAAAAACCATTTTTATAGAGGGAAATGTTCAAAAAAGTCTACAGCTATGGACACAAACATGTCCTATTCCTTTAAGCTGTAAGTGGCATCGGCATGTCCGATATTGCCTTCTGCACGTGCAATGCTTTCGAACAATATTCTTCAAGAAGAGACACACTGTGAGCTGACACGGGCTGGTCTGAGCTGAGGCAGAGGCTGGGGGCGGGCGCCGGTGTCCACCAGCCCAGGGGAGCCAGGCCAGCCCGACAGGTGGGCTGGACACACGGGAAAAGGTCTGAGACGCCGAGCGTGTCTGTCGGTCGCCAGCGCGTTCCGCAGCGCGTTCCGTGGACTCAAGCGGCCGAGGCGCTTCTGGAAGCTCGCGCGGCACAGGGGACACAGACGTCCCTCACGAGGGGAGACTGCTGGGTGCGTTTTAGGCCGCTGTCTCTGACGCTGCAACGCTCAGACGTCCGAGCCAGCCTCCCCTTCCCCTTCCCCGTCACCGAGGGCGGCTTCTTCCCTTTCCCAGCCAGGAAGATGCAGCGCCAGGCTGTGGGCACTTGCTAGCCAACGAGATTTCTCCTCACTGACCACGACGGCCCGGAAACCAACCGCCCTTCCCGCTCCTGCCAGCCCCCAGCCCTTCCCAGAGCAGACCCCCGGCCTGAGGCGCCCGAGAGCAGCGGAGAGTGAGTCGCGCACGGCCAGGAGGAAAACGGCAGGAAAACTTGACCGAGCCGACTCCCGCTTCAGCTCCATAAACCCCTGGGATCCCTGGAAGAAAAGCGTCCTGAAGGCCAGACTGACGCACGATCCCACTTCCCCGGGGTCAGGAGGGAAAGCACAGGAGGTGGCAGAGAAGGGACGGGCAGGCGGGGGGTATCGCGCCGCCAACTGACGCTCCCCCGACAAGCTGCTCTGGAGCACGAAGTGAAGCAGCGGCATTTCCCACAGGCTGTGCTGTGCGGGCCTGGGTCTCCCGCGGGCTCGCTGTCCCGAGAGCCCCTGCACTCGGCCTCGCGCCCGGGGCCCTCCTCAGGGTGGGCACGGCGCCAGCTCTCGCTGCTCCCGCTCGTCCTGGTTTCCTGCCTCCTTCTCGGCCAGAATCCGACTCCAGGGCCCCGGGGACTGAGCTCAACCCCACACTCCCGAGTGTGCAGGAACAGGCAGAGGAGAGGGGAGGGGAGGGGAAGGGAGGACCAGAGAAATAACAGGCAGGGAAGAGCCGCAAGAGGCCCTGCAGGGTGCATCCCCGACCCCACGCGGTCCTGGGCAACGCCAGGAGCAAGGCCCCCGCACAAGCCCCCGAGTACCACCGGACGGGACCCTGGGACAAAATCCCAGCAGAGCCGCCAGCAGCAACAGCCACGGTCAGCCCGGGAGGCCAGTTCAGTGCCCGGAGCCGCTGTGAGGCCCAGCACCGTCCCGGCCACCGCAGGAGGGGCGCCACCCCGGCCGGCCAGCGGCAGACCTGCAGGGAGCACGCGTGGGCGTCCGCGGCGGGTGGGGGAGCCTGCAAGGGAGCACGGGCGGTGGCGGGAGGAGAACGGCCCCCCACGGCTCTGCGAACAATACTGCGAACCGCAGGGCCGAGGTAACAGTCCGGGGGAGGGAAGCGCCGGGAAAAAGAACAGGGCCGGGGCGGGTTCAGTGCCCAGAGCGCCCGGCCCACTCTCCAGAGGCAGGCACTGCCCACGCCAGCGGCGTCCCCTGCTCCTCAATGAAGTTGTTCAAAACGTCAAAATTAAAAATGAAAACGTGCTGGATGAGAGCGAATGCAGACAAGCGCCCCCCTCTGGCCCCCCACACACTCCAAAGTAAACCAAAAGTAGATCTCAGCGCAGGTGACAGGTCTCACGGCCTCCCGGCCAGCTCCCAGCTAGCCCGGGCGGCTTCATCCCGAGGGCAGCAGTGTGACAGAGCGTCCCGGGCACACAGTAACGCTGGGGCTGGACAGCACCAGAACCAGCCCATGAACTGTCTGGACTCCTCAGCAGGGCTGACACTGGGAGCCACCACGGGCAGCAGACCGTTCGTCGGCCAGGAGCTGCCACGGGCCAGGACCACAGGGCGGTGGGCAGGACACTTGCCTCGCCCACAGCTGACCAGGTCAGATCCCGTCACGCCATGAGGGCCTGGGCCCGGCAGGACTGAGCCCACAAGACAGCTCCGGGAAGCAAGTCACCGGTTAGGCACAGCGGGGTAAGGTCTGGGAGCGATGCCAAGGGTTCGCGGGAGCGAAAGGTGGCGGTGAGGAGAGCCACCGGGAAGGGAACACGTGAGGCCGGAACCAATCGGGCAAACGGACGGGCAAAGGGACAGCCTCGAGTAGGGAAAAATCCACAGCCGGAAAGCAGCGGAGGGGGCCCACTGGCGACAGGCTTGCGGAGGACTCCGGAATCGTTCAGACAGTTTAAAGCAGGCACATCACATCTGTGTTTCAGAGAAGAAATCCCAGGACATGGAAGATTAGGACAGGGACATAAGACGCAAAGAAGACAGCTGGGCCGTTACCGGAGTGTAAATAATCAGGATAACCGGGGGCAGAGGGGACGTGTCCCAGCTGTGCGCGACCGCGAGCCCGGCCTCCAGGAGAAGGTCCGGACTAATCCCGAGATTACCACTGTGCATTCTTGGAAAGGAGCCGTCAATCTGCCCGTTTTTTAAATGTGAAAGAATGCTTTGATAAGCCCGCTGCTACAGAGTAGTCTCTGTAATGGTAAGGATCAGGCTGGACTTATGACTGCCTCTAAATGGAACTACTTAAAATCTGTCCAATGGCAAACCACAATCAAACCTGCGGGCCAGACCTACGGTTTCTACAGATCAAATGATACAATGACTCAGATCTTTAGAAACCAAGATAAGGCGAGACTGGTAATATCCATTTGTGAGAATTCGAAGATTCACGTAAAGTATTCCTCTCTCTTCACACACCAGACATCGGCACGAGGCGGACATCCAAGCAAGGAAGGAGCTCACCGGACTCGCCAAGAGAACCAGCCCCGCCGAGAGGAAACCGGGCCGAGCGCCCCTGGCCCACAGCGCGGGAAGGGGACGCTCACGGTTCGAGGAGAGGTCACCGCACAGCTGGGAAGCCGCTTCTGGGGGGGGGGGGGGGGCAGTGGGGCTACCAGGAAGGGCCTCGCCCACAGCCGTGGGGAGACTTTCCAAAACATTAAAAGTGAACGGCCAAGTGAGCCTGAACTCCGCTCCTCAGCGCCTACCCAAGAACACACACGCGTGACGCAAAAAGACGCCCCCTGCAGCCCCAGTCACGCAAGCCAAGACCTGGAGGGGCCAGCCGGGCGCTGGGAGGCAGTGGAGGGGCCGGAGCGGCAGCACACGGGGGAGGGCATGCGGCCGGCCCGCGCTCAATCCCCGCATCCCACACGGTGCCCCGAGCATCGACGGCAGCCCAAAAGCTAAACACAAAAGCAGACAGAAGACCGCGGAAGAGCTGTGAGGAGAGCCGGAGCTCGGCCAGGCGTGACACCACGAACGGAACCGGACGAGGGTCAAGGGAAGCCAAACAAGGGAGGAAGAGGAGAGAGAGAGAGACGCGGGGTGACTCCCACAGACGCAGCCTACAAAGAAACCAAGCCCGGGGACCAGCGAGCCCGCCGAGAAGCCCGGGTGCCGATGCAGGGTCGAGGCTTCACCCACGGAGACAGGAAGCGGTCAGGGCCACGCGCCGCGCTGACGGGCCCCTGCGGAGGGGAACGCGCCCCCCAAAGCGAGTCCCGAAAGCCAACGTCAACTCGAATCCCAGCTCCCAAACACACAGTCCAATAGAACCAGACTGCCCTCAAACATCTGTGCTCATGTTTCAAATGATCCTCAAATTTAAAAAAAAGAAATAATAATAATAAAAAGAATGATTTGTGGTCCATTTGTGGAAAGTAATATCAGAGTGAGAAGAACTGAAGCATTTTAGCCCTCTAATCCCCTAAGGGACACTCTCTGCTTCTCTGTCCCTCTTTCAAGTAACCAGTGCCATCAGGCAGGGCGTCTCCTCCAGCCGCACCCCGAATCTGCGAAGATGCAGAATCTGGGTTTTGTTCAGAGACTCCTGCCCGCTTAAAAACAAAACCAAAACCGAAATTTCTTCCTGAAACCCAGTGCGCTCTTTCCGGCTTCCGCCTGGGGAGGGAGCAGCAGCCTGGTGGGTCTCCCTTGACCCCCGCCCATGGCGCCCACCCGGGCACGCAGCCCTCTCTCCCGGCAGTCCTCCTCTGCACCTTCCGACAACGACCGCCCTGCTGGCACTTCCCCAACTCCTCCAGGAACCGCCCTGCACTCCCTGTGATGCCCGGGCCACAATCCCAGTCCTGCCGTCCCTCTGACTCTCGGTGGCTTCCGCGGTTCCTGAGTGACACAGCCCGGGTGTCACCCTCGCCTGGCCTTCCTCCTTCCTCATTACCCATCGCCTCCGATCTGGGGAGGCGGATTCAGGAGCAGTGCCGGGGGCTACTCCTGGCTCAGTGCTCTGGCTCACTCCCCGTGATTCTGGGGACTGACTCGGGGTCCGCCAGCAGCACGACCCTGGGCTGTCTCTCTGCGTCACCTCCACGTCCGACGGACTCTTCCCACCGGTACTGGCCACCGTTCCAACAGCTGCGACGCTGTCGGCTCTCACCCGGCCTTCCACCATCTTCCAGGTAGAACTTCCGCTCCGTTCCCCACACCGGGGCCAGGGTGATGGGCCCCGGATCTATTTCACACTGTTCCGTGCCGAAAATCCTTTGATTGTTTGGCAAAGAAATAGAGTCACGCATCCGGTGATCCTGAACCCAGGTCGGGGAAACACTACGACGATCACGATGGACACATCTGGTGAAAACCATGCCGCAAAGACCATCATGGGCACGCAGAAAGAAGGGCCGAATCCAGAGAACGGCATCACACTAAACTGCCTTCACTTGCTCCTCGGCTGTCCGATAACGGACGTGCCCTCAGCAGACACACGCCTGGCTGCTTCCGGCCCAGTGCCTGACTTGGCGGGACGGGACAGGGCTGGCCAGAAGCTTCTCTCCCACTTGCGGGCAGCTCGGGGGAGGGCTCGGGCTCTCGATCCCGGACACTAAGAACAAAACCAAAGAAGGCACGTAGGGTGGGTGCGATGAGGTGAACAGAGCAAAACGCCGTCCGGTGAATCTGGGTCCGGGGAACGGAGTCACTGCAGCTACTTTGTGTATCTGAGACCCTCCTTAAGCAGCAAGGAGTCTGCTAACGTGGAACGTCCCCTCCTGCACAAGACAAAAGTCTGACCTCCCCGCGAGGAGGCTCTCCAGGACTGGCCTGCCCAGCCCTCCCATTACGGCTGCGCAATCCCTGGCCCACCCCGGGAGTGGCCGCACTCACTGACTGCACGCTGCACAGCGCAGGGGGCGCGGCTGCTGGACACCCACCTCCTCGCTGTGCCCTGGGCAGGCCCGCCGTCCAGGTGGTCACGACTCCCCTAGTGACACCCTCTTTCAACTTCCGGGGGGCACCAGCGCCGCTAGAACCCGGGTGGGCTTCTCCCTCGGTCCCTGCCAACTGCCCTGCCCTGTCCACTCTCCTGGTGTACGAGCCTGGGCACAGCCCCCATCACGGACTGCGCTAGCTCAACGGTGGCGGACGGACAGACGGACGGACAGACAGACGGACGTTCAGTCTGAGGACACACACGCACTCGAGGACGGGTTCCTGGTCACCTCAGCGGTGCCCGCTCGGGGAGACGAGGCGGCGGGTTGGGTGCTGTGGGGCCGAGTCCACAGCCCTGCCCAGCCCCGCCGACACCCACGAGTGACTGCAGCACTGACCCCTCCTCCTCTGCCCTCTCGCGGGCTCGACTCTCCGCCCTGGAGTCCCCGGGGCCCCATCACACCATTTTAAGTGCTTCTTCCTCCTCCCCAGTCTCAAGGAATAAAGAAACAGACGGGTCTGCCTCAAATTTCTCGTGAAGCTGAAGTCCTCACGGGAAGGTGAACGTGACTTCGGGTGACGATTCCTCTTTTCCATGATATCCACACCTGGCCGCTATAGTCAGTTTTGCGGAAGTTTTTGTATCAACTTTAAAAAATTAGTAAAGCACGCAAAAATCAAACACAGAGTAAAAGAGACATTTTCAGTACAGAAAAAAGCACTCAAAGAGCTCAACCAAAAAACCAACTCAGGCTCTTAAAAAAAAAAATTCAAAGACCGTCCATTACAGAAAATGAACTTAATTCGTATGAAACCCTGAAAACTCTCGTCTCTGAGTCGCTAGCCTCTCTCCTGAACAGGCTTAGTTACTTCACTCTCTGACCCCAGGAAGACTGGAAGAGAGGATTCGCTTCTGGAGAGAAGAGCGAATGAAGAGCAAGAACCAGAGAGCCTCATGCCAAAGGAACACACAACAGATCTCAATATGGGCCAGAGCACCGGGACTTGCCTTGCACGTAGCTGACCTGGTTCCATCCCTGCACCCCATCTAGTCCCCGAGCCCACCGGGAGCGATCCCTGAGTGCAGAGCCAGGAGCAGCCCTGAGCACTGCCGGGAGTGGCCTCAAAACCAACCAAACAATTCTCAAGGGAAAAAAAAACTGCCAAAGCAATTTTCTCTAAATCAAATGGCATGACATTTGACGAAAGGGAGGGGACAAGCGTGGCAGGAATCCCATTTACAGCTCAAAAATCACTTCAATTCCATGATTAAGAAGGATGTTTGAGCTCAGGAAGTACGCCAGTTTCTTAAGACGGTGCAGGGGAAGGAAGTCACCGTGACATTTTAACGTTGGCCTAAGCTGACCATACAGACGCCGTCTCGATGAAGCGTGGGCCCTCACGTGTCTGTCTCCCAGGGCGCTGGCGAGGGTCCGCGCGGGACGGCCCGCACTCACCTCTCCTGCTTCAGGGCGAACTCCAGCATCTTGATCCGCCGCACGAGGTCCTTCTTCAGGTTCTCTTGGCCTTTCCGCTCCCCCTGGAGAAAGGCGATTTGGGCCTGGAGGGGAGAAAGGACGAGAAGCCTCCATCAGACCAAACGCACGGCCGGGTTCCGCTCAGGAACCTTCGGAAGCGAGGGCAGTGGGCGGCCACGCCCTCCCGTGTCCCGGGGATGCTCCTTCCTCTCTTGGCCTCTCTCTCTGTCTCTCTGTATCTCCGCATCTCTGTCGCTCTCCCTCACATTATTTCTCTCTTGTTATCTCTGTATCTCTACCTCTCGTTATCTCTGTGTCTGTCTCTGTCTCTCCCATTATCTCCATATCCCTGCATCTATCTCTCTCTCCCATCATCTCTGTCTCTCTGTCTCTGTCTCTTGAGGTACTGGGGGGTCCCTCCGATATGCAGCCAGGACGGGCGAGGAGGAACAGAAACGCAGGAGTCCTCCAAGATCCCCAAATACGGGATTCGATCTTGCGCAGGGAAAGGCGACAGGCGGGAAGGGACAGAGGGGGGAGACCCTGCAGGTCCCCACCACACACGCTGTCAGCCACGGCCGCCAACCCACGCGAGGGAAGCTGCTGCAGACACTGACAGTGCCCGGGGGGGTGGGGGGGGAGCAGCCAGACCTTCAGAGAGGACCCGTCGCCTCAGCCCCTGCCCTCCTCAGACGCGGCCCAGAGCGGCCAGTCCCGTCCCCCGCCACCTTCTCCCACTTCCATGGTCGTGCCCACCCCAGCCTGGCATGTGGTGGTCGCTGGGGAGATGCCACCCCCAAGCCCGGGGAGGCCCCAATGACCCCCACGAGGGCTGAGGAAAGGGCTCAACGAACCGACACGCGCACTTCCTCCTTCACTCGGGGCCCAGAACGAACAGACACTCCAGACCACCAAGACCCTTAGTGTTGGGGGAGGGTTGGGCTTTGGGGTCTCGAGCCTCTGCGCCACGCCCGGTGGTGCTGGGGCTTACTGTGTGCTCGCACTCAGGGGACCTCCTGGGTGCCAACCACATGCCAAGCGGGCACCTTCCCCTGCCCAAGCCGAGCCCCCGCTGGGTTCTTCCAACCTTCCTCATGGGACTATGGCTGCTATGGCTGGAACCGTGTGTAGGTGACTGACTAACGCCACAAAAGGGAACCTGACTGCGTGCAGAGAGCAAGGGCGTCCAGGCTAGGGAGAGGCGCACGGCTGCGCGTGTCCCGAGTGTGGGGACCCAGGGCTGACCCCAGCACCACACTGACCCACGAGAGCCCCAGAGTTCCCCGGGGGGCAGCCCCCAAGCCAAGCCAAGCAGAAGAGGCTACAGAGGGCACCACGAGTCCACACCCACACGGACCGACCCGCTGAACCGCACCAGCCACCCGCGCGCGAGCCCTCGGGCTCAGACACACAACAGTGGGCGCCACTTGCCAGGAGCTCCCCGGAGCCGCGTGGCACCCTTGAGGGCCCTGGGAACCCGCGTCGGCCAAGGCCCAACGCAGGCTGTCTGGGTGCCGCCACGTGAGCGGCAAGCACCGGGGGTGCCAATGCAGGAGGTGAGTGACCCAAACACCCCCGAAAGTCAATGATCAGCCTCTTCCTGTCGTACCCTCCTGCCAGGCTTGGGCGGGACTGGCGCTTTCTGCCTCCGCCGGCCTGGGGTGGGCAGTTCAGCAACTCCGACCCGTACTAGGCCCTACTTCCTGCCCAGATCACCAGTCACTCCTCCTGTCCCCAGCAATTCTGCTTCCCCATCGTCCTGGCAATCCACATTGGAAGCTAAAATATTCAACCTACACAGGGGCTGGAGCAACAGCACAGCGGGTAGGGCGTTTGCCTGGCACGCGGCCGACCCAGGTTCGATTCCCTGCATCCCACAGGGTCCCCTGAGCACCGCCAGGGGTGGTTCCTGAGTGCAGAGCCAGGAGTAAGTAACCTGTGTGCATCGCCGGGTGTGACCCAAAAAGCATAAACAAAAAAACTCAGCCTACACAGACGACTCGGAGATGCTCCAGAGGAAAGTCCCAAAGAAGCAGCAGTCTGCAAAGGAAGACCCCCTCCCCCAGCCCTCCCCCAGCTCGCCGAGCCTCACGTGTCCGCACGCAGGCGCCTCCAGCTTCAGAGGGGGCGCCCGGAGGTCCTGGGGGGCCTGCGTGGTACTGGTGGACACGCGGGCTCAGGCCGTGGCCCTGGAGTCTGTGCCCCAGCCCCACGCGCGTCTAACAGAAGGATTCTTCTCTAGGAAAGACCAGACCCAGGTCTCAGCACTGGCTCCTTCTCCCCGAGCACTGCGGTGTGTGACAACTCCAAGCCCCCTTACTATAGCCCAGCAAGACTCTCGAGCCACTAGCTGCCCGCTGGGTCACTCCCACCCAAGCGCGTGGGAGGGGCAGGAGCCCCGAGCCAGCCAGCACGCGGCCAAAGAGGATGGTGCTTCCGAGGAGTCCAAGACCATGAATGAATCACCCGAGAAAAAGGCGAGGCTCACGGCCGAGTGTGTGTGTGTGTGTGTGTGTGTGTGTGTGTGTGTGTGTGTGTGTGTGTGTGGCTACGGGAGAACACGCCCCTTTCGAGCTCTCCCGGAGGGCTGGGCAGACCTTAGCCGCCAAGCACGAGCTGTGCAGAGGGTCTTCTCCCCCCGACACCACAAGGCCGGGCGTGCTCAGATCCCAAGGGCGACCCTCTGCAGGGCGCGGGAGAATTCCTCCACGACAGGCCGTGCTCGGGGCCGCGGCGCCTGCTTCCGGCGGTGACCCGGCTCCTCTTTCCGTGCCAGACCTTTTCACACGGAACTAAGCTGCAGCTTGACAATTTTTTTCTTTTTTTTTTTTGAAAACGTGTCTGCCTACACTAATGTCACTTCAACACTGAGTGAACTCCCTTGAACTTCCCGAAGTTCTGGGAACAAAAGTGGGAATAAGACATTCAACTGACACCCAGAGAAAAAGGGGAACGAAGTTCCACCTGATCAAGTGGACAGGGTATAAAAATGACCCTCACGCGTTCCAAGCCGTCACACTTCCATCCATCTGTACAAATACCTGACGGTTCAAGACACAAGTGCACGGGGAGAAACCCTGCTTCAGGGAAAAGAAGCGATCACACTTCAGTGATGCCTCCTGAGTCCTTTACATTATTTATTCAAAATGATTCCTCACATTTCCAAACCGTTATTCAATTATTTAAGACCACATATAACAGAACATTTATGTATGTGTGCTTTTCCATTCTAATTTATCAAAGAGATGTAAGAAATATAAATATTCTACAGCTAAGCATTTTGTGCCTAGACGGGAATATCTAATGAATAATTAAGTGTGCCACTTATGAAAATATTTAAACTGTCTAAACCCTAAAATTTAAAAGGGTCAAAATTCAAAAGTGAAATCTCTGGAAAGCATTTTTTGAAAAACACAAAATACTAGTTTGGGTTGAGTATTTTTCAGCTGTCATCGAAATCATCTGCTGCAGGAAGGAAAGAGCCACCAATTTCACAAAAATCTAACATCAGGGACCCCCACAGACTCACTTCGAACGAGGCAAATTCACAAGGATCAAGAAAGATCCGGGGCTGGAGCGATAGCACAGCGGGTAGGGTGTTTGCCTTGCACGCAGCCAACATGGCCAACACAGGTTCGATTCCCAGCATCCCATAGGGTCCCCCGAGCCCCGCCAGGAGCAATTCCTGAGTGCATGAGCCAGGAGTAACCCCTGAGCATCGCCGGGTGTGACCCAAAAAGCAAAAAAAAAAAAAAGAAAAAAGAAAGATCCTTGCTGCGCCCTGGCGACGGGGCGCGCTGGTGGTCGGAGCCCCGGGTGGCACTGCAGCTGGTCTCGGCACCTCCCTCTGGGGTCGGCTCCACCCAGTGGTGGCAACACGCAGCCAACCCCGCGGGCCAGGCAGCCTGTCCACTCTTTGCTCTTTTCTTTACCAGCAGGGTCACTCCTGGTAGTGCCCGGGACCAAGGTGCCAGGACTGGACCCGAGCCTTAGCCCGCTGAGCTATCTGCGGCTCCCTCACCCCAATCAGTGTTTCTACCAGGCACCACGGTGCCAGGGGGCAAACTTGGGCCACCTCCGACCTCCACCACCTGGCAGAATTAAGAGGCCAAAAGTAAAGTACACAGGTCAGCGGAGAACGGGTCGACACTGCCCCACCTCTCCAACCGGGGAACTGCAGAGACTAGGCGGCACTGGCCCACCTCTCCAACCAGGGAACTAAAGAGATGGGGCGGCACTGTCCCACCTCTCCATCCAGGGGACTGCAGAGATGGGGTAACCCTGCCCTACCTCTCCATTCAGGGAACTGCAAAGATAGGGAGGCACTGCCCCACGTCTCCATCCAGGAACTGCAGAGTGCTTTAGAGGTGGGCAAGGGGACAGGCAACACACACACAAGTCTCACTGAATCCCTTCCAAATCCCTATTTATGACTATATTTTTAGCTGTCCAGATAAGATATAAAAGATCACCCAAGTTTCAGTGAGTTCAAAGTCCAAAGTCCAAAGCCCAACGCGTTGCCTTTCATTTCCCAGTAATGAAAACAATCTCTGTCCGCTGGGCGGACGCAAACTCCAGTCCCCTGCACGACTCCTTCCGACCTCTCTAAGCTGCCAGACTCCCAGGGGTCACCTGTCACCTTCAAGCCCCTCCAGACAGAGCCCTGCGTTCGTGCAAACACTTCTCCCGACTGTCTCACACTGGACTGGCACTGGAACATAATGTTTCTGTATTCCACCAAGTTAGAGATCTGTTTATGACGACCACACAAATACCCAGAAACGTCCTGTCCAAAGTACCTGACTACACTGCGATTACGCAATCGTGTTTTTAGAAAATTTTAGTCACAGTAAAAGGAGAAAACTAAGATAATAATAAGCCAACTGGAGGCACAAAAAGCAAGAACTATAAACTAGACCATTTTTTTTCCCGACCTGGGAAGTTCTACACAGAATTTCTATATGATTTTTTTTTCCCTTGAGCTTTGAGCTGGAGCGATAGCACAGCGATAGGGCATCTACCTTGCACCCAGCCGGGCCGGCCGACCCGGGTTCGATTCCTCCGCCCCTCTCGGAGAGCCCAG